TAAAGTCAATCCAGTTTTTTCACACGCGTGTTGTGGGCTTCATGCAAATTATCTTCACACCTTTTTTGCCGACTTAGTACATGCATCTGCCTGCTGAAAATCCAAATAGGTTGTGACAACTCGCTATATGTTTGACTTTACAGCGTGTGTCTGAGTGTTTTAAGATAAATTTTAACCAAACAAATTAGTTTGTAGGTACACCACGTACTGTGCACTGACGCTGTCCACTGTAACTGTGCACTGATGAAGTCCCGGGTTAACGGACCGAAAGCTTTGCAGGTTAAATACTTACGCGGTGTACTTAATGTTACCATGCAAACGTACAAGAACATTAAATTTTAACTATACTTGGGTGAGTATAAACCCTTGCCCAAGAATTAACCTACGAACAGATTACGTACAGCTAGCTATCATTCGACAGTTCGCTAGCGCTGGTCAAGAGCGACACGGTCCAACAAATTTTGTCGGCTGTCGCACAACTTCATAAAACAACTGTTTTTCACAGTGTCGACAGAGAGGCATTCTGCAATGAAATCAAGGTTCACTACTAGAGCAAGCATAGGGTCGGGTAAGCCTGGGTAAATTACCCAGTAGGTATATATCTAGCCACTTAGACGTCTCTATTGATTTTGATATCAAGTCTTCCACAAAACTAACGACCTAGTCCGGGAAAGCGTCTTTTAAAAAAATAGTTATAAATGCATACCCATAGATAGAGGCACCCATAATCTAACCCTAAATATGGACGCATCTGTTTTTAAGAAAGGGAAAGTTTTTAGGAAAGTAGCGGTACTGGTGGGCAAATGTATGCATGGGCTTAGCCCCCCAAAAAATACATGAAAAAATTTTTAGCAGCAATTTTTTAGTTATCGGGGTCCCTGATAACTCTGTGCTCCCTCCCCTCGACAGTGGCGGATCCAGGGTGGGTCAGCTCTAACTTGCAATCGTATTGGTAGTCATGTAAAGTTAGAAATAAGTACCCTATAGCGTTGTTATTAAGGCATTTTGAATTGGAAATTAGGCTGTGTAATTTATTCTGGCGCACGTCCAAATTTTGGCACGTCCTCCGCTGCCGAAGTCTTTCAAAATGCAATCCAACAAACCCTCAGTGGCATCGAAGGTGTTCGCAACGTCAACGATGACATCATCATTTTTGGCAAAGACCAAGCCGCTCATGATAAAGCTCTCCGTGCTGTTTTTGATCTTTTTCGCTCTAAGAACCTAACTTTAAATCCCAACAAGTGCGAATTCAACAAATCGCAACTCGAATTCTTTGGCTACATATTCTCCCGAAATGGCGTATCCCCCAAGAAAGTCTCCGCCATACCTGCACCAGCCCTCCTTTCACGAACCACCGTTCACGAAGTTCGCAGTTTTCTTGGTATATATGACCAACTAATGTTCCCGATTTATCCCAAATTATTCCACCATAACCAAACCCCTCCGTGCGCTCACCCAGCCTGATCAGCCCTGGGCGTGGAATCCCGAGTATCAACAAGCGTTTGATCAACTAAAAAACCTGCTCACCAGCGACACCGTTCTCTCATACTTCGACCCCCACAAGACGGCTACCATCGTTGTCGATGCCAGCCGGGTTGGTCTCGGTGCTATTCTCGATGCTATTCTTGATGCTATTCCTTTATACGGAAAAACGGCCAAACTGGTCCTGTTGTATTTCGGTACAGACAGATTACTGGTATTTTAAAGTGTTTCAAGAACTCTGCATTCAAGTATATCGTTATTTACATCTGTCTAGCACAGGAAATATAGTTTTATCACTATATTCTTATAAGTAATATCATGACATGAGGGAAATTAATGGTTAATAATTTAATCACTAATTTTAGCATTTAATCACTAGTTTCCCTCATGTCATGATATTAGTTTGTAATATCATGATCAGCGAGGGTGACGTAGCGTATTGGTTTTATGTATTGTTAAAAATTCATATGTGTGCATCTCATTGCTTGCATGCTTGCTCATGCTTACAGAAGCGGGCGAATTAGGAGTTAAAAGCCCACTCTAAACAATAGAACCCGAGCTGATCATGATATTATCAACGAAAGCGTCCCGACGCAATTGGCGTCTTGTTTGCCTGTGAGCACTTTCACCTCTACATCTATGGCGCGAAATTCTCCGTCATCACCGACCACAAACCACTTGAACGCATTTTTACCAACCCCACTGCTCATTCTAACGCCCGCATAGACCGTTGGGCCCCCAAACTTTTCACTATCTCCTATTCCCCTTGCAAAACCAACCCGGCTAATTATCTTTCCCGTGCCCCTCTCCCCACGACCCATCCCTCCACTGCATCCGCTCAAGCTGAAGAATACATTGCGTTCTTAGCACATCATACCACCCCAAAAGCTATGATTGTTGCTGAAGTAAAGGACTCCACCCGAGCTGAACCTACTCTGCAAGCTGTTATCGAGGCTCTCCGTAACAACTTCTGGAAATTCATCCTTGCGACTCCCGAATCTCTTGTCAACATCCAGGGCCTCTCCGCTTTCCACAAGATCCCGGACGAGCTAAGTGTCTCTGATGACCAGGATCTCTCTTCCTTCGGTCGCAAGGTCTGGTACTCCCACATGACCTTCGCCAACGTGCCCTCAACATCGTCCATGAAAGTCATCAGGGCCTTACCAAAACAAACAGGAAAGATTTCGGGGAAAGATTTGGCTCCCAGGCATTGATGCCTCACAAAAACGCTCCGTGACAATCGTCTCGCCTGTCAGGCAACCGTTTTTCAGCAGCCCTTTGAACCTCTCCGCATGACCGAGTTACCCCAAGCCCCTTGGCAACAACTCTCAGTCGATTTCTGTGGCCCTCTCCCATCTGGTGATATGCGCATGCTTTTTGTGGTCATCGATAAATACTCACGCTATCCGGAGGTTGAAATTGTTCGCTCCCCCGCTGCAAATACTGTCATCCCGAAACTTGACCGCATCTCATCTACGAATGGAATTCCCGCATCCAAACAATGGACAACCATTCCAATCTCATTCCTTCGCCGAATTCGCGCAATCATGGGTTTCCACCATCGAAAGATCACTCCGGAGTGGCCGAAAGCCAACTCCGAGTCGGAACGCTTTATGCGCACAATGCAGAAAACACTGCCCCCGCTGCGCACCTTGAAAATAAAAATTGGAAGCAGAAACTGTTTCTCTTCCTCCGCAACTACCGTGTGACGCCACACTCCACTACCGGTATTTCCCCGGCCGGGCTCCTCTTTGGTCGAAAAATGACCGTCAAACTACCCGAACTGCTACACGGGACCGTCAAACTACCCGAACCTTCACGGGCTCCAGTCGCTGATACTGACTCCCACAAGAAGGAGAAGATGAAGGAATACGCTGATGCCGCAGCCAGAGCAAAGCCCCACACGTTCCAGATTGGTGACACTGTTCTCGGTCGTCAAAAGCGTGTCAATAAACTATCCTCATCATACAACAAACATCCATATACTATCATCAGGATCAAAGGTAGCATGATATCAGCATGCACAAAACGCGACCAGCTACGTCACAAGGAACAGTTCACAATTTAAGAAAATTACCACCGACAAACACGATCACGTAGTAGACTCTCTGGATGACAAGAAGATCAATCATTCATTCACCACCTGCTGTTCCGGTGGAAAAGAGGCGCTATCCCATAAAAGAAAATCGAAGACCTCCAGAACGTCATAATCATATATGTATGCTATTCTATAAAAGTTACGTTAATGAAAATTAAACTCCCGACGAACTTCCGTTTAAAACAAGAGAGGGATGTAATGATCCGACGTGATGGTTTATGTGACGTCACTTGTATATAGCTGTATGCCATTTATAGTAGTATTATTATTACAGTACCGTTCACATCCCTACCGATCGGCAGCGGGCATCATTAGTTAGTAGGCTAGGCTAAGTGCTCTGTAATGCATTCACCGTGATCATTAATGATAATAACATAACATTTGCATAGCATGACTAAATCGTCAGGCTGGCTCCGCCACTGTTTGTTGCGCATTAGTGAGAGTTTTATACCATTCACCAAATCTACGACGCGAACGTGACTGAAGTATAATACGGCTCTAATTTCCGCAGTTTCCAACAGGGATGCAAATTATATAGACTCCTTTTGATAAACAAAGTCAGAGCCGCGAATGTAAAGCAAATTATTATTGGTTTCCTCAAACTATAGTAGCAGTTTTCATGTCACGTACGCGTCGTAGATTTTAGTGTATCTTAAACTCACTATTGTCCGCATTGTGGACGTAGCAGCTGGCATATTTTGAATTTTGTTTTGAGCGGAGCACTTAAACTTCCCAAACTTTCCTCTCGACTGACAAATGAGACCTAAGAACTAAGAAATAACCCATTTAAGTTTTGAAAATATTTGAGTTGAAAATTGCCTTTTTTATTACATGTAGCTACGCAAATAATATTATAACCTTTATACGGTAAAAACGGCCACAAATCGGTCCTGTTTCAAGAACTCTGTATTCAAGTATATAAAACTTTACACCCGCTTAGCACGGGAAATGCGGTTTCACCGTTATATTTCTAACGAAACACTCTATTTCAATTCAAAATATATTCGGTTTGGCCATTTTGGCCGCTTAAAGGAAAGTGCCCTAAGTTAAATTGCCTGGTGTAAAATGTCAATTTATTTTTACCTAATTTGCTAAATAACTCATTATTAGCCGTAGTTCCAAAGATGGAATATAATATTATTACGATAATCCTCGAAACTCAATGTTCGCGAGAACGTCGGTTCTTTAAGCGGTCATCAACATGCAATGTCAAGGACTGAAATTTGGGTCAGATTGTTTTAAATTAACAGGTTTTATTTTTGTTTCAAAGCTCGTTTGGGCTACGCCATTGGCTGTTTCATCGATATCTTTTCTAAACAATTCCTTATAGCCACCAAACAAGATTACATTAAATCCATAATAATTATTTATGACGACAGGTGCGAGCGAGCTCGCCCAGCGCGCTATGCTGAAACCGCAAACTTTAAATTGAAACAGACTTGTGGATTTATTTGGCCCTTATTTTGATGGATTATGTGGCAAAAAAGACGCAAATGGAGCCCTAAAAAGTCGAATATTCAAATGGAAAAGCATTTTACATCACATGTGATAAATTCAAGTTTCTTTTGGCCATCAGTTAGGTAAGGTAAGTATAAACCGTTCTAAATTTGGCCTTGTTTATTCGACGAGTTTAAACAGCGTCAATTGTTAAATTCTCTTAACTATATCGCTCTATGTCTTTTTGTCCAACGTGACGAATTGTAATCGGTTGAAGATTAGATCTGGTATAAATTCGTTATAATTCTTACGTACTTTCTCGGTTTAAATGATTTGAATGAGAAGAAACTTAAGGTATGGCTGTCTGATAGATGCGGCTACCTGCTGAATTTATCGTTTTAGCCCTATAATAGTGGCTGTCTTTTATGCATAACACTTAACATTAGCATTAGAATATGACAAAATCATACTTGTTCTTACTTGACTTCTAACAAACTTAAATGAATTGTCTATAACTATGATGTTATGGAACTGAAAATATAAAATCTGTGTGGTACAAATATATCTGTATATATCAGTATAATAATAAGCAAACAGTCATTGCATGACATTGTCAAGACGTTTCTTGTTATGATGACATTTCAACATAACAAACTCAAACAAAATTACGCACGATATGTTGGCGAAAGTGAAGCAATTGTCTTATAAGACGTTACAGTTTCTTTCTCATCATTTCCCGATCAAATGAATGAAGTTTTATGCCGCTTTAATGCTCTCGCTAAAATTTGCTACATTATATTTTTAACTGAGGGAATATAGACAAGCATAAATACACAATATTTGTTATAAGTTTGTGTACTTTTCTTACAAACAACGCCACCTTATTCGTGCAAATATTTGCTACACTATAGCATTCCATATAATCATGGCAATTATGCCATATAAATTATAGCTAATTATAAAACTACATTTACCAACCTAATCTGAACTCATATACCACAATAAAAAAGATAAGCTACTGTATCTCTCTGCTCTGAAATAGTAAAAATGAAGTGCAAATGCACATATATGTTTTCACAAGTAACTATCATACACTAGTTGGGAATTCATAAATGTCATGACTTGCGTCGCGGTCAAAATTTGGTAAAAACTGATAATGGATTAATTTAATTGGATCTGATCTTACAATTAAGAAAAGTTACAATTTACAATGAAACCGATTCCAACATCATATTGAAAAATTTTGAAAATCTCAATGCGAACGGTTGAAATGCAAGCGTGGAAATTTTGATTGGCAATTTCTCATAGAATTCCTTGTATATATAGGGTTTCCCTAAAAAGTACTCACTTGAAGACTTGAAGTGAGTACTTTTTAGGGAAATCCTATATATACAAGGAATTCTATGAGAAATTGCCAATCAAAATTTCCACGACCACGTTTCTGTGAACTCACAGTTGCTCGATTTTGAAAAACGCATCTAGTAATCATTTTAGCATACTGTAATCCGGCGTTTAAATTGAAACAAAAGTTCGAATTCAACCGAAGAGGGTATATAAATATAGTATTTTGGACTATCCTGTTTAGGCAAGAGCGACGACAAAATTTTGTGACTGTTGAATTTTCTCAGGCGGTTTTCTTTTCTTAGAATTATAAGAGAAATGTTTTCCTCTTTTTAGATTAACAAGCTTTTAAACTGAGTAAAAAAAACTCCTATCGACGCCATGGGGGACTCGGATGAATCCGAAGTTGACGACACATTGGACATCAAAGCGAACCCTACATTCGAACTGTTAAAGAAATGTACTTCAGCATGGCAGCAATTCAGCGCCAAGCGAAAAATGACACACGAATTAAAAGAATATCAAGAACTATTCCTGACGGAGTTACCTGGGTCAACGAAGGTTACGAGTGCGGCGACACATGCGGTCCTAGAAGGCGAACTAGACGAAGATGAATCGAGCAGAAAGGTTGTGCCGAGATTTCGCGATCGAACGTCGGGGCCATCTGCTGGTGATAAAAAGAAGGTAAGGCCACTGGCCAACAGTAACACTGGCCAAGAGGAAATTATTTGCGTTTACCACCAACAGCAGTTTTTGTACAGACCAAGAAGCTATAGAACGAGATAGATCACTTTGTTTTCTCAGCTACGAAACAAATATTTCACGATTAATATATTTTAATACATTTAGCCATAGGATAAAAACGTCTATATGCCTTAACAGAAATAACATCAGATGCCATCTTGCGGGCAACAATTATCATTATTGATTATTTAGTCTAGTTATTCAACCATTGTTTAATTCGGATCTCCTTGAGCTTCAAATAGAGCAAGTAAATTAGTTTGTTGGTTTTTAGAGCACCTGTTTCGCACGGAATTGCAATGTTTTTTCCCGAGCTGAACCGATATTTTTGGTCTAAAATCTAAGGCTGTTTTAGACGTAAAACTTTTCATGTGCTAAATCAAATGCAGATGGTTCAATAGGAATCATTAAAATTAACAGCTAGTGTGGAGTTGTCCTTCATTAAGTTCACTTTACCTCATTGCAAAGCCCTAGTGCTAACTCTTAATTACTCAAAAGCTTTAGTCACTATACTGGTCACCAGTGGGGAGGAATCTGTGTACTGAGTATAGGTTCCGAAAATCGATCTTGCATAATATGTTCAAATTTTAGGAAATGTAATTTTTCCAGATCTAGAAACACAAACATTAGAACTGTCCAACTTTTTCTTAATCGCCATTATCACCAGATTTATCAATAAACGTAAATGATCAAGGAAAAATCTACATGCACTGTCAAACGTTTTAGAGGAAAAATTCATACTTTCCTGTGATTTAATCCCATCGAGCCACCTTAAACAAGGACTTTTCATACATTAACATTAGATTCGGTAGATGAAATGTTCGGGCTGGCGAATAGCGAATAGCGAATACGATGTGAGCGCCAGTTGCATGAGCTGTGTGGTCTAGCTCGAGCGAGTTTCAGTTGCTAAATCTGACAAGTTGTATTAAATAATTTCAGGTTCGTAACCATGCTCTTATTCACTATTTCGCGACATTGGCTCACTCGAATCACATCAACGACACTATGGATTTCTCATTTGTTGAAAGTTTGCTTCAAAATGGCGCATCGGTGAAAAGTAGTGATAAACATGGTCAGACGATATTTCATGAGGTTGCCAGAAGTTGGCACACTGATGTTGCTCAGTTCTTATTAAGTCAAGGTAGGAATGAAAATGCATGAAGCATTTATTCATCCACACTGTCTTCAAGCTCTGTTTTGACCTGTTTTGGTTCAAAAAACGTGTATCAAACCGGGGAATGATAACTGATAAGGCATATCAAGTTTTCCTCTCTGATATGTGAAAAGAGAAGATGAATAACTTGATAATTAGTGAATTATAACTGATCCCAAGTGGAAAATGACTGATGTTTTGCTTTTGTTTTTGGCAACATAAACATTGACGTAATGATGTTTATAGTTTCTTAAAATTGATTCGTTTCTAGAAATCGTGCATTTAAACTACTCATTTCACTGTCTCTATAGAGTTCACTGGCATTGCCACGTCCCAAATTCAAGTACAAAATTATAAACAACAAGTTCTTTTTATTTTTTTCAGGAGCGGATATCAACCAGGTAGACAAGTTTGGTCGAGCGCCTTTACACGTTGCGGCCGCAGCAAACTACGGCGAAATGGTTGAGTTTCTTCTGACTAAAGGGGCGGACATAAAATTGACGACTCGTGGCGAGAAACAACAACCCATTCACTTTGCCGCCAAGAACGATGCAGTCATTGCATTACAAGTATTAATCAATTTTGGCGCGGACACCACCTGCAAAGATTATAAAGGCAGAACACCTCTTCAGGTAAGTCGCTCAAATGCAGACTTTGTTCTCACGAAAATAACAAATGCACAATTTTTATACAATTATATGCAAATTTAATAAAGTTAAATTTATAAACAGCGGCGTCAAAATAATGGGAGGGAGGAGTGGGTGGGGCAATTCGAACACATCGGCACTTAGGTGGAAAAATGCAGCCATTTAACAGTACATGTAATAGTTTCAACTTACATTTTCCGTTATTTTATGTACAAACAGAAAATACTAACTCCTGCATGAAACTGGTATAGTTAATTTTCCAGTGATAGTGACAGGCCAATGAATTCTTTCCTTTTTTTTAAATTGTCGTTACCAAAATGCTAGAGGGGGCAATTCACAGCTGCCCCCTCCCTTCCAGCGTCCTTAATTGATTTTATCCAAAGACATTACCGACAAATTGGTATAGTTACTATATCAACTGTTTACTATGCACCAAGTTGTATATTGTGACTAGCCTGACGATATATATGTAGTGCAGCCTTGCTAATATTTTGGTGTTCAATGCCCTGATAACAATCAATTTTTAAAGGAATGAACCTAAAATTTGAACATCGGAACTAAATCGTCTGGCTATAGCTACACACTAGTGATTATATTTTTTCACCTTCATCTTAACGATGTTAAGCGCTATATACAAGATAAAAGACCTTATGCAAAATAACGTATCAAGCCGTATCAGGCAATTCTGGTTTTAGTAGTCACGGCGAAAAATTCAAACTTCAAAATTTCCCGCCGTGACTATACTAAGACCAGAATTCCCTGCAGGTGTCACGGCTTGTTACGTCATTATGCATAAGGTCTATTAAGTAGATTGAGATGTATCAGACCATTGGTCGATGAAGTCGGTTAATTGGAACACGAATGCTAACTTTGCCAGCACACTGCTCAGCCCGTTTTTGCGTCGTACCCCATTACTATAAGACGAGAATAGTAATTATCTTTAAATTATGGTGTCACTGTGATAAATTTCTCTGAACAAAAACATTTGCTTCTCTTTCTATCCCTTGAAAGTTATACGCAATTTTTGAATACGGTGAAACCTCCTTCCCCTTGGCATTATGACAATGGTCCTTTGACAGGACAGCTGCATGAGAGACTGAATGGGACAATATTGAAACGAACACGCCCAATGACGAGTTGAAACTTCCTGTAAGTTTTTTTTACAACTTCTGCAATTCTAATGTATTTATCTTTTTAGGTTGCTGCCGAGCTGAACCGTTCCAAAACAGCAAAGCTCCTGATAGAACGGGGAGTTCCAGCTTTTGTCCACGACAAATCTGGATCGGTAGTCCTGTCTCTCCTGATACGTAAAATGCCGCATGTCGCGTTGGAAGCTATGGAGCAAATGCACAGCAAAGACTTTACGAATCGAAAACAGTACTTTTACCTAAACTATTTAGAGTGTATGCATTTGGACCAAATTCCAGAAAGTTGTGCGAAGGCTCCTTTGGTTGAAGCAGTCCAACACAACCAGTTTGAACTGATTATGCATCCAGTTTTTCAACGATTAATTAATGTTAAATGGGAGAAGTTCGGTAAAACCGGTGCATGGATGAGTCTTATTGTCAACATTATCTTTGCTATTTTATGGACCCTTTTAGCGGTCACACAACCGTTGGATGTCTCGAAACATTACACGCCACTTTCAAGCAATTGGTGGCGTTTGTTCGTCGAGATTCTAGTCATTTTGTTAACTATCAACGAGATACGAGTGCAGATCGTGAACACTTTTATAAACCGTAAGGAACACACGAGCTGGAAAGCTTGGAAGATTAGAGATTTAGAAAGAGATCTGGAATTCTGTCATCCGCGTTGGCCCGAGGAAGCGAGGTATCTCGAATGTGAGATTAAAATGATAAAGGATGCGAACGCTTTGCATTTCCAAGATTCCTGGAACTATTTAGAATGGGTGTGCTGTACGTTTATTGTGACTGCGATCATCTCGCATCTCGTAAACTTCTTCCTCCGCACGAAAATCACGTACTTAGTGCACATGCGCATTCTTGCGTTTCTCCTTATCTTGTTGTGGTTACGTATACTGAAATACGTGCGCGCTTTCAAAGGGCCTGGACCGTTCGTCCAAATGTTGGGCCACGTCATAGACAACATAGTGAAATGGGGTTTTCTGTACGTGGTGTTTTACATTCCCTATGCGGCGGCCTTCTGGATTTTGTTCGGGAAAAACTCGCCGAATCCCGTCTCAGGTTACTCGGAAGTCTTCGACTTGCTCGTCTACATATTCCGAATGACGGTCGTTGACGATTACAACTTCAAAGACCTTTATGATGCCGATCCTACAATGGCGAGGATTTTGTGCAGTTCTTACGTGGCATTCGCCTCTGTTGTAATTTTAAATTTATTAATTGCGCTTCTTTCTGATACATTTCAACGTGTTTACGAGAATGCTATTGCAACAGCAGTTATGCAGCGTGGGCAAACGATTATATCAATTGAGAAGTCGCTGCGAAAAAAGACTAAGAAAGCATATCGCGAGTTTATCGAGAATGAATGTAGCCCCGAAGCACTATACTACGAGGAAACTGCAGATAACGCTGCTGGTCGTATTACGCAGCAGCTAAAGGATGAAATGGTAGAGTTAAGACTTGTTATCAATGATCGTTTCGGAAAATCTGCTGGAGGACCTAAGTCTGATTTCGACGTTATGAAAGAAGATATGCTAAACTTTATAAGATGCCAGGACAAATTGTTGATGAAAGTCGACTTAGTTGAGAAACGCTTGATGAGAATTGAGAAAAAGCTTGCTGAAGGCGGGCAGAATGGCGGCGATAGAAAATCTAAAGTCTCACTTAACAGTCCAACACATGGCAGCGGAAATTTAGCTTTTGAAAACAGGCAAAGAAGGTTATCCTTAGAGCCAGACTCCACGCGATCCCCGAGGCGCGCGCTTTCAAACAGACAACTGAACGGAGGGCAGCCAATAACAAATGCTGCTTCACGGGAAAAGAAATTAAGAAAGCTTACGGCACAAGAAAAAGCCGCAGGGATTGTCATATTCCGCTACTGGAAGAACTACCAACAACGCAAGGCTAAATTTAGGAAAGAAAAAAAACAGAAAAAGACAAGACGGGGATCGGCAGGCTCCGTTATGTCGATGAATAAAGGTTCGAGGCGAAGACGGAATCTACATGATGATGACGCAGGCTCGGATTGTACCGGGTACAGCGGTGACTGGTAGGGTAACTGAGGTATCCTAAATGTTTGTGAATATTCCAAATGTACAAGGTTAGCCTGGAGATGGAAACCCAAACAAGCGATCACGAATAGTTCTCATGTCACGACAATGCCGTCGGTTTTGTTGGCAAAATGAATAAGAGTCGTCTAACCAAATACAGCGTGCTTCGAATCCAATGTGAATAAAAATGCAAATCTTCCTCCCAAATTACATACAGGTCAATAAAGGAAAACGAAGACGATTTTTTTTCAATTATTATAACTTCTGCAACAGTCGTCAGTCCAAAACTGGGTGACAATTTAAAAGCGAGATATTTTTTGGCAATTTCTCAACGTAGTTATACATATAGTACACTATGTTGACAGAAAAATTTCTCGCGTTTAAATTGGGCTGCCTATGCTTCCGCTTGGCATTTCATCGAAAAGAAAAAGAATAATAGTTTTATATGTATTATAATACATGGAAAATGCGGCGTTTAAAACACGCAGGTCTAGAATTACCGAAACGAGATCACGAACGCATTACAGCCCCGTTTACACTACACTCAATTTATTGGCACGGCGCGGCTATGATGCATGGATACCGGCCGTACTCGATTTTATTAGTGCTCGGATTATCAAAACAAGGGTCGGGTACGGATAAAATGGGATGGTGAAATTAGCAGACCTGCAAATTCGAGATATACTACTGATGAAATAAGTATTTTCAATATTCCTGTCACATCTATGCATTTCAGATGCTTGAAGTGGAAGACATTAGCCCTTCCTAAGAAGGAAGCCAACTAAGAACAACCAGGTACCTATTTTAACCGCACCGTGCCAATAAATTCAGTGTGGTGTAAACGGAGCTTACTACAAGGACCTGTGAAAACAATGTTTCTTCACTTAGAGAGTTGGAGGTTTTCTTTTAAAGTCTGTGTGAATATATTGAATCATTAAAAAAGAAAATGATTATAAATGAAAATCTCCAAAGAGGTTACATTGCAATTTCAGAGATCTTTTAATGCGCGTAAAACAGTTGCGCGGTGTATTATCATGCATTTAGGGGGCTTTAGGACTAGAATAGCGATTACAACCATATATCATAGAGACGCTCATTGGGCAAAATGCATTTTTATATATTTATGGCTTCATACGAAGAATGCGGTTTTATACCGTTTAACTTTACAAAAGTATTACATATCTATATTTGGAAACTTTTTTGAATAAAACCTTGAATAATAGACCTTCATTTGTGGATTTCCCAGGGAGTTTTACTGGAAGTCTGACTGAATCAATTTATATATTTACCAAATTAAGAGGGAGTTCACTATATATAGCTATTTTTACTGCTACGATATTTACTCGATTTTACTGGCGATTTTCTATAATATTTGATTCATACTAACGCGTAGATAAAGTTATATGGATGTTAAGGTAAGGAGGAGTTCTACATGCAAGACCATTTTAAAGTTAGCCTCTCGTTTGCATCCCCAGAAGCGATGATAAAGTGCATGAGACTTTATAATTGGCCTGTATTCAAAAAGCTCGCTCATGCACACTCATTGAGTGTGACATAGAAATTTTTCTATAACTTGACAACGAGAATATGTTTTCATCAATGGAAAGATCTAAAGTAAAACACGAAAAATCAAGCTCTTATTCGACTGAAATTACCATAATGGAAACGTTGTGAGAAGATTGGAATCTCCCACTCAATGCCGGCATGCATCAGTTTGAGTGCATGTGCACATGCTTTTAGAATACAGGAGCCAGTTGTACGAAGGCCGGATAGCGTTATCCACCGGGTAGTGTTTTTTTTCACCGTTCTAAAAGTGCTCGAAAAGCGAGAAAATTTCTTCTTTGAAACCAACAATTATTAAGGAGGATCCTCGATTTAGGAATACTAAGATTTAATCTAAGTTATAGCAAACAACGGGCGATTTTAAAGCGATTGAAAAATCACTATCCGGTGGATAGCGCTATCTGGCTTTTGTACAACCGGCCCCAGGCGTTATATAGTGTGGTGTGAATTATATAGTGTGGTGTGGCCTATAACGCGAGCAACATGCATGCATTCCGTCGACATATGGATACAAATATAAGCTATATTTTTTAGTTTAAGTTTTATCACACCATCAATAATAAGAATAGATTATAGAGTTACTCAGTCCATATTCGGGTTCCCTCTTCCATAATCAATTCGAGATCTTACTTCAAGTCAGAACTGCGGTAGGGTAGAACGATATATCATGCATGGTAAACTGCTTGAAAAACAAGCAAGGATGTCTCATGATGAAAGCATTTTGGGCTCGCACAAGTAGCGTATGTATATAATAATTATATGGACCTAACCGACGGCTATGAAATTGAAGAACACTGCATGCATGCGAAGTTATGAACGACTTGAACTGAGCAACATAGCCATTGAACTGACGAAAACCAATAGTTATGTATACCAGATATCTGAAGTTAAATCACCTGCATCACTGCATGTCAGACTTTTTGTGGGATTTATGCTTTGCCAAAAAGTTTATAGACTATTAATTATTATGATATATTTGTATTACTCTATAATTACATAGTTTATATTTTAAATTAGGTTTCTTCCTGAATTAAAGAGTTCGATGAATTATTAATTGTCTTAACGGGAATCCCTATCCTCTTATATATTTAAGACATGAGATCTAGCTACTCCTTTTAATAGACTGTCATTTTTTAATTCGTTGTCCTATAAAAATCCTATTAGTATTAAAAATAAGGAATACATACTTTTCCTAGTATATATAGCTAGTCTTATTATATAGCATCGAGTATTCTACTTTAACAAATCTTACGAATCTTTCAACGCTTCTTAACTGCATGAGTATTATAACTTATAAGAATTATCATAAAATGCTGTCGCATAAAAGTTAACTAATCAAATCTTGCAGCGCTGAAGAGTTTTTAACATACGCAGTCTCTACATGCATGACTATATGTGCACAAAACAACTTTTTCTTTTTTTCATTTCAGTTGCATATTAAGCATATTTTTCCTTGGATCGCGTGGACAGGGCGTCAAAACAATTGTATAGATTTTGAAAACGCTCGAAAACGACACTCATGTCATCGATTCGTCATTCGTCACTATACACATGCATCGGTCAGCTTTATGCATGAATTCACGTGAGTTGACGGATAAATTATTAGGTTAATAGAGTCTTATTTTGTAAAGTTTTGAAAATCGCAGCAGTGCAGAGTGGCTTACACCAAAACAAAGAATTAGCGTTTATGAGCCTTTTTTTAATAGCTTTTTATTATATAGATCTTCTTTATAGCATCGTTTCATCCATATTATAAATGAACGCGTGCACGCGGTTCATGATCTGTACGGCCCCTTAATCTGTTGAGATTAAGAACTGATTAAGCTATTTATTATATTCATTTTGAAATCCTATGAAATAATCATATTCAATTGTTTCTTGCAATCTGATTGGTTAAAAATAGTGCGATTAATTCCCAAAGCGCACTATTTTTGAGCATTAATCACATCATTTATAAGCCAATACGATGGAAGCTCTGCACCACAATAACCAATCAGATTTAGTATTTCAGTTTAGCTATCCAATCAAATTACATGGGAAAATTGAAAATGGCACAAAATTTTATTATTTTGAATTTTTAAATGCTCCGCAAAATTCCTTGACAAGATGAAAATTACTCACATTTTACACCGTTTACGGTTTTTCAGCTAATAAATCGTTTTGAATTTGTTAAATTTTTGTATGATTTCAAAAGGAATGTAATAAAATGGAAATTGCACTTTGTGTCGTGCAATTTTGGTGTGAAATCAAACTTGTGATTACAAATCGCACTCCCGCTTCGCGGTCGTGTGATTTTGTAATCACGCGTTTGATTTCACACCAAATTGAACTCCACTCAGTGCACTTACCATTATTAAAAAAATACATAATTCAACAATATATAATCCGCGAGAAAGCTTATAGCATGTCGTCATCAATAATATAAAGGTTTATCTGATACAGACATATATATTTCTCAGCTGTCCTTTAACAAGGACACTAAAGCTAATCTTCCCAGTACGATTTTCCGCAGACTGATATGAATTTAGATGCGATAGATTACGCAGAAAGCTTTATTCAATAATATGGGAAAACATGAATCTGGTGAAAATTAAAATTTTCGCCCTAAGTCAGCTGTTTTCTTTGTATACTGTCCGCGTCAAATTTATTTCCCTTTTTCATTAAACGGAAATAAAGTATACACACTGCATTTCAAATGGCTTCAGAGTAATGCTATATGTTGTATTTGAATTAAATATATTCTAAATAAATGCATGAAGTATAAACGGGCACTGACTACAGCAAGACCAGTTTGCGCGAATGATTTCGTATTGATCCAGTAATGTATTCAGAGCGTCGCAAACACGTGAACATAAAGAAATTGAAGAATCTTGAGTTGATAGGAATCTTTTTAAATCTTTGTGTCAGTCAGAGCACCTAAACCAGACCATAACCCTCACTCGACTACCAACACTGCAGGATTAGATTAAGGATAATATCGACGGATTTTAGACATTGAATTATTATACCAATAATTTTTCCTGATAGAGTTTTTGAGACTTCTTTGAACGATAGAGAAATCGGAATTCCTCCAGCCGGTATATATACGTTGCCTTTATACGATGCCAACTTCAGACGGTTGTTTTTTTATCGTGTGATATTCGTTATGAAAACTTATAATTCCTTGCTTAAATATCTACAGCCAAGCCATACACGATACGGTAAAAATTCCGTTCGATAAAATTTGTGTGATTTCCATATAATTATATCATATTCGGCCGGTATACCTATAGCGACCTGGAATGGACAAAAAGCTTTATTTTTTGTTTAAGCTATTAGTTCTACTCTAAATTTTAGTGCTTGAAAAACAATGAAACACGCTATGCCTCAAAACAATGTGCTTGAAGTGAAGACGCGCTTAATTGAGTGAAGATCAGAAAGAATATAATATACATAAGCCGGTGGTTTTATAATTGGACAACTCTATGTGACTTTAACTTCTGAATTTGTCATTCCTAAAAGTTTTCCACTGAACACTGTCGTTGTCATGAGAGGTAATCCTTACCAATATTTTTATTCACACAAACAAGTAGACTTTGATAAAAACTTGTTGAATTGAAGACTATCATTTGCTGAGATGGTCAGCATTGCGATTGGTCGCAAACTCCTTGTATATACGAGGCCATGCATGCATGTATGGATGGATGCCTGTTCTTAGTGTTTCTTCAAATTCAACAACCGTTACAGACACACAGTCAATAATATTCAGTATTCTAACAAAATATACAAGGATTGTAAATGAAACATATTATATATTCATTGGCATTGTTCCCTAATTGTCTGACCAAATGGCGAAAACAATACATATATTATGCACCCAACAAGGAAACACGCACGCCCCATGCATGCCGTACAATTTGTAAGTGCACAAGTGTGTTACATATCCTAATAGAAGCAAATTCTGCTTTTGGTAAATTTGAAAGACAATAAAAGACGGGTTCTCATTTATATTTGAGGCATTTCGCAATTTAAACATATGTAAATTTAATTTAACCTTTACACAAAGACAAGCTTTGTCTCCCCAGCACGCGAGTAAATATTCTTTATGTTATTGTTTGGAAAAAGGTCTTTTTAAAAAGCACGCTTCCAAACCTTCTCCGTTATTACCTTTTTCCAAAATGCTTTGTTTATGTTTTATATGCTTAGATAAGTCTGTGTGGCAGCTGATACAGTCTTTCATGTTGATTAAAAAATCATCAGGAAATATATTTTACCGTCTCAAAAACATCTGAAACCTGAAAACTCAGTAATTCACGTCGCCATCAAATCGAGCTAATAATGTGAACGGTGATGATTCGATGAACTTTACTCGCAAATAGGGCTTTCTTAAAGCTCTCTAAGAGAGTAATACACAGTTTTTAGTTTTAATGGTGTATTGGCGAAATTCGTTCGAACAATAGTAAAATTATGAGCTTTTATACACCTTTTAGGATCAACAGTTATAGGACAGACTCGGTTTTGGCAGAGCTTGACATGGACATTGATGATATGTGTACAGTCAAACTAGCTTTGGTTTCCTCAATAAACGTCGATCGTCAAAAACTCAAATGAGAACAGTAATATTTCCGTAATGTATTTTTGAGCACAGACCAGCACAGCATGTTTAAAAAAATAACTCCCATTTACAAACAGGTTTCCGGACACGCGGTACACTTTAGAAGCGGTATACTGCATGTATGTATGTCAGAGTATATATAAACACCTATTTCAACTATACATATAATTAAATTCTTAAGCTACGCGTACACGCGGCATGGTAATGCCCGTCTTGATGAAACGTTAGTGAATTCTTTCAAAATCATGTGCTTGTATGTGTGCCCACATTATATAGACGGCCATGCTTAAACGTTTCCACCGCGTGTCAGTTACAAATTGTGTGTTGCCAGGTCAAGTCGTTTTGAAACATGCATGCGTTAGGAAGACAAAAGCAGACAGATGTTTTGCTTTTACGAGCTCAAAAGGCTTTTCTTGCTCATTATATTATGCTCAACATAAGACAGGTGTAAAATTTAAAATGCTTCCCACATTTGCAGTGAATAAAAGGCACATCATTTCGAATTTTAGAAGCACTTGTCTGAAGGAAGCAGCAGAACCGCTCTTCACTTTAAATGGTATATTGGCAATTTTTTAACGTATAAATTGGTAACATTTACTACGATAAGCGGAAATAACCTTGAAGTTTAGCGTCGATACGAATAACGGAAATTTATTTGGAAGTATATATAAGGAAAAGGACAATTTCGTTAAATTAAAAAAGACAGTAAAGTTGTACTGGCAATATGGAACCAATCACAATGACGATACACCGGCCTAACCAATCACCGCCAAGTTTTAACAACAGTATCAACCATTGGAAAAATTGTAGTCAAAAGCGTTTTCCTTCTCACTACGGCCAGCAAAATCAAGGAAAAAGTCCGCCGTATAAAACCCCAAAATCTTTTAACAACAGAAATACGTTTGGTTCAGAAAGAAATGGTATGAAATCTGATCGAAATTCAATATATGCAGAACAATCTGGCCACCAAAAGCTGAAACAATCAGAGGGAAACTCTAGAACTGTCTATAATAATCAGAAAGGCGAAGCCTTAATAATTGAGTGGGATTGTTTGGAATCGTTTCACGAATTTGCTATATTCATGGACAAGTCAAATCCAATATGTCCGGCTGAACATTTAGACACACCGGAGAAACTTATGAATCTCTTGGTATTTTAGAAAATTTAAAAATATAGATTACATTATTAAAAAACGAATTTATTCCGGAGAATGGGAAAGAATTTTTACAATATTTTTAGACCCTTAAAGCAAGAGTATAATTAACTCATAGTCAATGGGGCATAATCATGAAGCTCGTCAAATTTCAAAACATCGATTTATAAGTGTTAAAAGCCTGTTGAGACGGCTTTGTCATACACCAGCCACAGTTTTTAAAATTTAGCCAACCAGGGCTCTTTAAGTGATGACGTATCACAAAGATAGTCTGAACGCTGGCGTGCCGGCTCTTTTATCGTTGAGGCATGTAAGCTGCAGCACTTCAATCTCTGTAGCATTATTTCATGCCACGTTTTTTTCCATATGGTATTCTAATTTCAACGTCGTTCCCAGTGTATTCGCTCTACCCTCAAGTGTGGGACAAGATTATTGTACTTTTTATACATAATCCAAATATTTATTCCTCATGGATGGAGCAAATTTTTTGTTTTTTTTGAGGTGTAGTCATCTGGCACCACTACAACTAAAGCCTGGCGCCTTGTCACTGGAGACAATTGTCACGTATATACACATGTTCCCATAGTATGCGGGGGGGGGGATTTGAGATATTCTGTCATTCTTGTCGTAAAAATGAGCACGAATGACCAAATATCGCAACTAGGAATATGTGTAGGTGACAACTAAATCAGTGTACACCAGGGCCGTACACCGAACCACATGTGTTAAATCTGAGGATTTATATCTTTCTGGAAATCGAGGAATTCTACTTTAATAAATCTATTATATCGTGTAATTTTCATTTTCATAATTAACCAATGGAAATATGAAATACATTTTCGAAAGCCTGTATGCTAGGTGTTGAACTTTTTAAGCCTATGAGACCGATGTTTTATCATTTTTCACCCTTCACATTCAGAACCAACCCTAATTGCAGTGTAATGCTTGATTGCATGCATACATAATAAACTAAATATTTTGTTTTAGAACAGCAGGTGTAATCTAATTCATCAGACAATTAAAAATGTATCGATTTTCGATTTTTGATTTCGAATTTAAAGCTTCCAGAACCGCAAATGGAGTAACCTAATGAACCTAAAAACACGAATTCAAAGAGAACTTTTAAAAGCAATTTGGATTTGAGAGTATCTTTCAGTGAACTCGCGGAACAAGGAAACTCAAATTTACTGTCATTGTAATGTTGACTTTAACTTTGCATGACGTCCTTGTATGTGCACACAATTACCAACACGTTATGCATTATTGTCACTCCCAGTTCTATTGTGGTTAAGCCATAAAAGCTTAAGACTGTTCACATACCTTGCTTTTAAAATTTTTATTTCAGATTTAGGTGGAAAGGTAGCGAGGCAATGTCATATTACAGTTTTCTACAAGTATTCTTACTGTGTTTTTTCTACTTTGCTTTCTTTTGCCAGCGTTCCAGACTGGTTTCAGGAGGTGAGATCAATTATATACTGACTATATTTGTATGTTTACCTTTCCCAATTGTTGTGAAGCCTAGGCCTTTTTAGTAATTTTAAAGTAGTAATAAAATATAATTCTATCACACACGGATTTATCCTAGGAGTAATTACTTTTTGTAAACTAGCTGTACTTTTATCGTGGAACGTGAAAATCTGCTAACCTAATGCTAACCTAATTTCATCTTCTAAATTCGGGGTTTTTTCTAACTAGGAACAACTGAGGAGCATTTTGCCGAAACTGAATATCGTCTGTTGGAATTTCTCACAAATAATTCAGATCTCAGGAAGGAAATTCTCCCAGCTCCTAATGTCAATAAACCGGTTAATGTTGAAGTGAGAATCAAATTGCGACAGATTGCTGATGTGGTAAGCTGATAATGATAATGTGTGGTAATGATACATTTCTTGCAGGAGCTGTATACATTTACCAAAAAGCAGTATAGCGATAAAAGGAACCATGAAGAACTATGCATGATAGATATATTCAGGGCGAACTAAGGAGTAAATTTTCTATATGAGGATTTTCTATTTTCTATCTGACACTCTCGCGATTTTTGAATAAATTAACGTAATTTGTATAAATTCAATGTATAAATTATATTAGTGTGCATGCATATACCGCAGAGACTTGGTAACATGTTTTGAAAAACCAATTTTGAAAATATAAAATATGGCTAAAGTGATTTCAGTTCAAAGCTCACTTTGTAACTGAGATTTTTGGCCATGTCTATCGTTATCAATAAATCAAAGACAGTCATTATAGTGTGACAGGCGACAGTAAAAGCTTGCAAGAACAATGACTGTTCCAGGCGTGTTTAAAGTCACACAATCAAGTTTAAAAGTATAAGACAATCAAGTTATACTATACACGCATTTATAACTGCGCACTACTGCATGTTCTTGTGTCACCAAGAGTGATTTCAGTCACTCTTATCAAAATGGAAAGGGATCTGACATTCAGCGCGCCCCATCATTAACCGTGCCTTAGGTAAGCGACTGGGGACGAGTCAGGAAAGGGATCGCGTTCCCACATAACCTGCCGAACGGAAGTGTAATCTTCCAAACAAGGCCGTAGGGCATGGAAATCATTTTCACGAGGCACAAATAGTTCTGCATTGAATAAATATTTCTTATAAAGAGAACATCTCAAAATTAATTGCCTGATTTTTAGCTAAGCTTGATTATGTAGGACTATAGAAAAGTAGAGTATGCATGCACGAGATATTAGGCCCAACGGCCGTTTTTGATCCGACAGACTCAAATCAAAGGTCTCAATGAAATGACTCACTGAATGCACAAATAGCCGATTAGTTGTTGGCTAGTAGGCAAACCAGATAAACAAGTTTTTAATACTTAGCGCGCAAAGCAGGTTGGTCGAGTTAATGGCACTGAAAGAATGCAAGACCGTTAGCAATGACTCCACGATATCCGCAAGTCAAAAATGAATTTATAGCTGAAATTTAGTTCCAGTCTCTTTCTCTGTTTTTATATCACTATAAAGCTGTTTTCCACTTACGCGTTTTTCATACGCACGTACACGCACGTTAAAGTCTAAATCCTTATACATGTTACCTTTGAAAAAACTAAGTGAATAAATCGAAGGAACTTAGTTTTCTGCATATTTTAGTATGCATTAGTTTACCAAGATATTATATAAGTAATAAAGATTTAAAAGCATTTAAAGCATTCCGTACGCGCACGTGCGTATATAAACTACGCGTACTGAGTGGAAAACAGCCTTTAGAGTTTCCCATTAGCGGTCTTGACTTTTCCGTAAACTTTTAGCTGCAAAAAAACTAAATTCAAATCTGCGGAAACGTCCTGCTTTCAAAATCTTCGTTTCTGTCTTTCGTTATTAGAGCGAAAAAAATCAAGAAATTCGTCTTGTAGTATGGCTCAGGTTGCAATGGGATAATCCATGGTTGAGATGGGATCCTAAGGAGTACGGAGGGATCAAGAGTGTTAATGTTGATAATAACTTTTTCTGGCTGCCTGATGTTTCAATCTTCAATGAGTAAGTTTTGTATGTCTTTACTTCGAGTTGAACCAAAGCCGAGCTGCCCAAATATTTCTCCGTGTTGACAAATTGCCGAAAAATTTCTCGCGTTTAAATTATGACCGGCGCATATTTAGACTGCCAGTGGTTAAATGGTGTTAAACTACCAGTCGGGAAGAACCGAGTGAACATTTTGGATAATATTATGCTTGAATAACTAGTTTGATGAATAATGTGAGATCGGCGCTCAATGCTAGCACAGATTAAAATCTAAAATTTTTTCTTACAAGTCGCACTAACAATGAAACTAGACTAATCATATGCATTGGCTTCGGCTATCAAAGGGTTTGCTTGACAAAAAATAAATTGATTAAACGCACTATTTTTTGAGTTCATTGTTGATTGCGAATTGAACGCAATTTATATGCTTCTAAAGCCAATTTTCCACGAGCGATATTTTTTGCGCGAAGCGACTTTATTCTTTTGTATATTTGAGCAATTTGTTCCAGATGGTTGCAGTTGTGACCTTTGAAACAAAAGTAAAATGTCGCTTCGCACGAAAATTATCACTAGTGGAAACCCGCTTAGTGGGAACAGTTTAGAGAAGGTCGGCGACTTATTGCGACTATGAGCTCGTCGATCGCCCTCGGTAAGTATCGAACCGCTTAGATCGAATTGCCCAAAATTAAATGTATAATGTTTAATTTGAGCATGTTGCTGAAATTTTTGTGCCGGTGAATTCTGCTGGAATCTCCATCGACAATGAGCACTATGATATCAGTAAAATGACCATAGAATTTCAGTCCCATTTAGTCTGATGCATCTGGTATTATATAGACTAAGGCCCGTTTCAGACGTCCGAACTTTTCATATGCCGAATCCAATGAACTTTAACAAAGACTTAACTGATTAACATTAAGTTCGACACATGAAAAATTCGACGTTTGAAACAGGTCCTATTGTTAATCGGAATTCCTATTGTTAATCTGAATTGTTAACATTACGGACTTTTCATCACCTTTAAGGTAATCCCAACAAATTCTTCTCAGTTAATTTATATTAGTTTATGACTGTCCGTTGTTGCAGGGGAAGTCGTGAAGATGAAATGGAAATTCTTTACAAACGTTTAGTGACGAAATTGGTTATCTCCGAAGATGGTCATTGTACTTGGAATGCTCCAGTAACATTGAACAGTCAGTGCCGAATAGATGTCGCTCGCTTTCCCTTTGACGAACAAACATGTCAGGTTAAAATAGGTTCCTGGGCGTATTCCGGATATAAAATCAATATGTCATACCGTAATTATTCGAATAAACGCCGCGGCGTTTATTAAATTTTTAGCAAATAACATGCGGCGTTTCTTCGAGGGCGGCGTTTATTCAAGGGAGGCGTTTATTGCAAACTCGTAACAACTCTGAATTTATTGTGTAATTCAAACGCCAATTCAACCAATACAATTAGTCCCCAAAAAAACTAAGTATAAAAGTTATGTGTCTTTTCTATTTATATCATTATATATGAAAATTGAACCGTGGTTATAAATAAATACTTCGAATAAACGCCGCAATGACGAAAAGGTTGCGGCGTTTATTTGAGGGCGGCGTTTAATGATATTTTTGCTTGTACCTGCGGCGTTAATTCGAGGGCGGCGTTTATTCGAGGGAGGCGTTTATTCGAGTAATTACGGTACTCCGTGAAAAATGTACTCTTAAATGATTATATCCAAAACGGGGAATGGGATGTTAAAAGCGCGATTTTGAGTCACAATTTCAGATACTATCTTCCGGACAACATACCGTACCCGGACGTCACCTTCACTTTGAGGATTAAACGACGTTCTCTGTATTACGGATTGCAATTAATACTTCCGTTGGCGGTGATCTCAATATTGACGTTTTTTAGTTTTATTCTGCCTTTAAAGAGCGAAGAACAGATAGCGATTTTGATCAGTCTCGTTGTTGCAATTTCCGTTTATTCGATAATAATATCGTCTGTGTTACCAGAAACCTCTGATAGTGCCTCTGTTCTTGAAATATATTGTATTGGTATTTTTCTATCGGTAACCATGGTTTCATTTCCAGCAGTTATGACGACGAGACTCGTACATTTATCCTATCCAATGCCGAATTGGTTTCGTAAATGTATGAGAGGTATTGCTAAAATTCTGAGGGTGAGTTCTAAGGATCTTGCGAAAATTCCAAACAGGCAGAAAGGCAAAGAAATGGGAGCTGATAACAATATTGAAGTGGATGGGCACGAATTGGAAGTGAAACCCGCTGACAAGAATCACAAGAACGTCAACGAGACTGAAGAATATGAAAAACAATGGAAAGCTGCAGCAATAGTTATTCACAGAATTTTCCTGCTGTTTTATTCTTTATGCGTCGTGGGTTTTAATCTTTTCTTGTTGTATGAATATAGAAGATAAAAACATGCCTTCCAACATCTAGCAGTAGCGTCGTAAGGGGGTTAGGAGGGGGTAGTTGGGGCTTAGTGGCACTTATCCTGTTTAGCGTACAACTAATCCTAGTTAACCCCCTTCCAGCAATTAGTTTTTAGAGGGATTCCTGAAGTAATGCAAGATGAATAGTAATAACATTTCCTGCACAGTTATGACCGTAAACACGCATAATGAATAATCTACTGAGAATAATAATATCGAGCTTTGAATTATGATGAAATGAATTCGCGTGAATTTTTTTTATTTAGGCCACACATGGTATCAATAGAGCACTGTAAAATTTTTTCATTGCCCACAACAATAGCATGTGCTTGTTTGGTGTTAGGGTCTGTTTACATGAGCCCGGTTACCCGAGATTCAACGAGGCGTGAGATGATTTTGAGGTATTGAAATGAGCAGATAACATGATCCTGGCAGTCGTATTAATCACCACAACAATAGCATGTGCTTGTTTGGTGTCATAAACACTTATTTCAATACCTCAAAGTCCCCTCACGCTTCGTTGAATCTCGAGGGTAACCGGGCTCATGTAAACAGCCCCTAACTGTACTGTCGCTAATCCGCGAAAGACAATAATCTTTTTCTGGCTGCCTGACGTTGCAATCTAATGAGGAGTTTTGTTTGACTTTTTTCCCGGGCCACAAGTAAAAAGAAAATCAAGCGGAAAATTTCGGTGAATGCTTTGTTGCAATTTGGAGTTTGGACGACCGGATTTTATTTATATATGCTCATGCACGCTGTCACGCTAACCGCTAACGCTATTCCTTCTGCCATTTTGAGGATTTTGCTCGGTGATTTTTAATTTTGTAGTAAAAAGTTTGCTTTCATTACTCAAATAAAAAATTAAAAAAAGAATAATTACCAAAAAGAGAATCAATTTACTTCCTTTTCCCAGCCCCCAAGATTATAACCACGCTTGTCTGTACACTCCGAGTAGAAACTGAGAAAGAATGTCATTTTAGTGGCTTTGCTTATATAAGCACTGTGACAGGTCTAAATTTTTGTATTTACGGTAGCGTTTATAAATTGCGTTAAATTCCCACGGGGACTTCATTGTAACTGGACTTTTATTTTAATAAGAATTACTTAAAATTCAAGAGGTTGATGTCTATGCATCTGTGGATTTAGCAAAGCACTCAGCCATACAAATTATAAAATATGATAATTTCTGCAGTGTCACTTTATTAAGTACCCTCCATTAAAATCATGCTTTCGTTTCAGAATAGCAAAGTAAAAGTATATGAAGATTAAAATCAACAGAGCAAAGTAAAGTAGACATATACCTGGAGCTCGTCTGTCGTAGCTATCCATCCGTAGCTATCTATCGTAGAGCTGTGATCGTAGCTAGCTGTGTCACAGGTGGTGAGGCTTCCTTAAGTTTATCGATGCTGCTCGAACGATATAGGCTGGTGAAACAGTAGCTCAACCAGTCAAACTTTAACGTTGGAAGAAAAGACAGAAATGTTGGACTTCAGGATCTTCTGCCATATAATGTGGGTTGGCCGTACGCCGGCGATGAGAAGCTCCGCTTTTGTGCACACACCATGTCAATACTAGTGGATTAACTATGTTTTTTACCTTTTATATGCATTAATTACGCGAAGAGGATTACATGCACGAGTTATTTGACTTGATTCCACATTTTTTAATATCGCTATTCATTATGAGCATTATAATTGCGTGTGAATAGAAAAAACGTGTTCTATGGAATACGTGCTGTTGCCATGGTAATGGACTGAAAGTGTTTAGTTATTTTAATTTTAATCTAAAATTAAGTGTCTCGGTGAATTTGTGAATTCATGAAATTGACGATTTTTGTCGGAAATTTTGCATATACTCTCGTGGACTTTGGTGACATATCTGGCCATGCAAATGCAGCGGTCTGCGAAACCGTGATTTATCGCATTGTTGTAAACAGTTGAATTTGTAAATTCTCGTTCAGAAATGCACAACTTTCTATCAACTTTTTTTTAACGGCAGGCAAGCATGAGTAATTGAGCGACAGAAAAATTCCTTCCAGAATGATACAACGTTATTGCTCACAAAAAACATTAGTTATCTCGCTAAGTTAAAATGCAAATGATATTAACAGAAGCAAAAATAAGAACGACTATGTTGAAACGTGATTGCCGGGTAATACATATTACTTCACTATAAGGCACAAATATAAACTCAAGCAAAGTGACTTGGAATCGCAGTGAAATCGCTAAGCTGGGGAGATATAGAGTAAATGTTTTCAAAGCAATCATGTTCTCGAGTTAGTCCTGAAGCTAAATTAACGTAGTTAGTTTTATTAGATTTTTAAAACTAGGTCCCAACTATTCTCGTTTCAATATCGTCACAGCACTCTCCGCAAGACACTGCATGAGCTAAATAACCACTAGAGGTCTTTCAGCTGTATCATAAGTTGAGTCACTCGTTTCCATTCTTCTTCTGGCCGAGTCAACTTGCGGGGTGTTTCCCAACTTGTCGTACGGAACAAAAACCTGTCTGTCCCTTTGTATGACGTCATAAACATGGTGGCCATCCTCGTCAACATCCCCCTGCGCATTTCGTAGCCAATCAATAGCTAATGGTCGCAAAAACTGAAGTCTATCATACCATGAGCTTCGCGAAGGTCCTGTATTGACGTAATCTCCTTCGTGGCTTACAACTCCACGCGAGTGGCCTGGAATCGGGTCTCCATCAGTTGTCAAGTTTTGATAAACAACACCAGTACCAGTCTCTTGTGACGTACCCGCCCTTTCATTAGAAGGAGCAAGAGGCACACAGGGGAGTAGTTCGCCGTTTTCCTGAGGCTGATGCATATTCTGACCACGGATTTGTTCAGAAGAGAATTTCACAATGGCGTAAAACGGAATTCCTATATAGTGCATGAATTGAAATGAAGACACGATATTGCTACACAAAAATTTTTGGTTTCGCGATGCACAAACTGTTAATCATAAATTCATGAATCGGATCACCGCGCCAGGAATTATGATTAAAATACTGACAGGAAGACTATGCGTAATTTTCACCTTAATCTCACCTCTTTTTCCACGTCGTTTGCGACGAATGAAAAGATAGCTTAGGATGACGACGACTATCACAAAGGTAGCAGCAACGATGGAAACGATCGTCTTGGTGTAGGAGACAACTTGAATATATTGATAAGCAGAAATAATTATAATTCAACCTCTCTTTGATATCACACGATACTCAGCACCACACGTACGATCTTACCCTGGCAAGGTCCTTTTGCGCACAGTCGATTTTCATGATCCGCTCCTTGCTTACTGCAGTTTCCACCAAATTTTCCCGGGGGGTTATCACAGTTTCGTACCCAGATTGCAACACCCTGACCACACGAGACACTACATGGCGACAATTTTGTCCAATTGCCATAGTTTCCATCGACTGAAAACGAAAATGTCGTGTCACTTTTGTGATCCTTATAATTACGCGATATCGAACGACAAACGATCAGCGTATCGTTAGAGCCTTAGAGATCTCAATATAGAACTGACAGAGTTCTTAAAATGAGTTAAATCTAGGTTTCCTTCTTATATTTGTGGAACAAAAGACAGACTATTCAGTGAAGGAAAGTTACTGTAGACATAGTTCGTTTAATCCGTACCTGGACATGGTTTTTTTGTACAATTCTTTAAATCGAATGACTTCCCAAGTTTACTGCAGTTACTGCCTCCGTATTTTGGTTCTGGATTATGACAAGTACGTCGCCATATTTCCACTCCTGCACCGCACGAAACATTGCATGGGACGTTCAAACTCCAGCTGGTATAACCACCGTTAACTAGAAATACGAGTAAAGAAATATTGAAATGCCTTTTGCACATATTTCAAAAACTCTCTTAGGAATTTATTAGAGTGGCAGCTAGCTTACCAGGACAGGGTGTTGGCTGACATGATCTGTACTCAATAGCTTTTCCTAGATGACTACAGTTTCTTCCACCAAACTTTGGCTCAGGATTGTTGCAATCTCGTGTCCATGTTTCAAAACCTCCACCACAAGTTACATTACACGCACTGCTCAATGACCAGTTGCCATAATCACCATGAACTATGGTGAAACATTGAAGTTTGTTTATGAATAGAGATTTTTTTCAATAATTTCCTGAACATTAATAATACATTTTGGAGGATGGAGCACTGGTAGGCAAATTACCCCCTTTGCCCCCCCCCCTTGGGCAGCGCTGTTAAGATGACGTGTAATGCATTACTTTGGTAATGGGACAGGATTTCCTTCAGTTCTTGATAATTCAAGATTGTTCATGATTATCATACCTGGGGTACATTTAGGGACATCACAGTACTCCCATCTTTTGTTCCTATCTGTAGTAAAACACCAAGGTCTTTGTCCTGAGTTTTTAGGATTACGACAGTAATTCTCAGCGTTATTTAATTCTGGATACGTGGTGTTCATGGTATGACGATGTGGACATTGTTCTGTCCATGACTGACAAGGAATACCTGAGCCTGTTACTGATATGTTGCCATGGTAACTGCTTCCGTTTAAATACAGGCAGTCTGTGTGGAAATATAGCTATTTAATCCCAGCTGCATAGCATATGCACAAAATTTTGTTCATACTGGGAACATCTTACAGAACAAAAGAGTACAAAATCTTGATTATGTCGGTTTCATAAAAAGCTCAGATTTGAAATCGGTTCCTACCTGCATTGGTTGTCCATTCTGGAGCTAGAGTTGCAACTTGAAATGAAAAAAAGGGTTATAAAAATTTTTCAGACACAATGAAAGCTGTCAGTATAACATCGATCTTTTTCTCATTCTCATATTACCTGTTGAATTTTCAAAATCCCTATACCAGCATTCTGGGGAGTCACCAGCATTTCGGTAAGGCTGTAGCTCGCCAAAGATGAACTGCTTTGACATTGCAGTCAGATTTTTAATTTCCGATACTTTTGCGACAAAATCCGTTATTTTGCCACATATACGAGTAACGCTTAGCCAGGTTTCGCGACAAAGCTTTTGCTTCTTATACTTGCTCTCTGTTCCCTCACAAAGCGGAAAATGTATGCGACACATACATGGCACATAAGCATGCCAGCACTTTATCACCGCACTTGTGTCAACATTGAAAAATCTACTGATCTTTGACACGCCAAGGCTAAGATATTGGTTGTGCAAATTATTGACATATTCAATACTCCGACTTTGTTTAAGAGGCGTTTTGTATATGTAGTCTGATAACGAAACTCCATGATTCTGACAAAAAAGCCAAGTGAAATTTATCAAAGGATAGCATCCACTTGAGTTGAGCAATGGCTCAGCTGCAGCAGGAATACACGTCCTAAAACAAATGAACATTTTCATCAAAACACCCTGAAACATAATCCTCTATAAAGAGTAAATGCGCGGCTACTTTGTGAGAAAGCTTCAAAGTCATCAGTAAAATAATCCGGTGATGAAATTATGAGTACAACAGAAGTGCAACATGAGTACAACAGCAGTATAATATGAGTACAACAGCAGTACAACAGAATTACCATTCATTCAATGCAATAAAAACTGCAGTGAATGATTTCATTTCACCTATCTCGGCAAATATAAACGATCCTACAAGGTAGGGATTACTCGGTTTCTTTGCGAGGAAGGAAGATGAAAGGATATTCAAGCTTTACCTGTTTCCATGTTGAAGGTGTTGATCATCTAACAAAAAAGACAAAAACATGGTAAGGCTGTCCACGTATTCCGCGATATTAAATGACTTCATAAACTACCTGCAATAATTGGTCGTGAGATTGTAGCTAGAATCAGTAGAACACCAGAAACATTGATGAAATTAACTGTTCTCTTTGGAAATTCTGCACAAAATCTCGTGTAGAGTGCCAATATTTGAGACATATCTGCTCAAATGTGCTGGTTTCAAGGAGTTCCAATGACTACACGTCAGACTTAAGATTATTTGAAAAATGTAAACAGTTCTGTTTTAAAAACATTCTCATCCTCAAGTTACAACTTCCGCAAAGCAAATTACAAAAGATTTCTTTAAATGGCAATTAAAAAAAGCAGCCGAGCATGCTTAATTGGAGCCAAAATTTCCTCATCAAAATGGAGTCAAACTTCTCGTTCAGCGAAAAAAGTAACTTGTCATTTTATTCAGTTTGAAATACAGAACTTATAAATGAAATTATTTTACGAAGATAATGACAATAATTCAGAATATAAATGCGATTTCATATAATAAAAATATGAACGACCATGCCATCAAACAACACTGACTAAAATTGAATACTTCACCAAACACACAATTATAATATGAGCAAAGGTTTTAAATAACTCCGAAATTTTTATCGTTAAGCTTCATAAATTATTTTGGTTGGAGAATAAAAGTGATTTTATTGATTATCGATATATGATATATAAACAATGCTTCAAACTAGTAGAAGAATTCGAAAAAAAGGCTGCGCCATCATTTCAAGAAAATGCACAACAAAAGAGATAAAGAAATTGGTTGCTTTTCTGACAACAATTTTTCCTAGTTATTCTAGGAAGTACGACTAGGAAGCAACGTTTTTTATTTCACTATTTCATGCAATCTCTGTGGTTGGAGCAGTCTTCCCTTGACACCGAGCTATAACAGCTAGAGGTCTTTCAGGTGTGTCATAAGTTGAATCACTTGTTTCCATTCCTCTGGCCGAGTCAACTTGCGCGGTGTTTCCCAACCTGTCGTACGGAACAAAAATCTGTCTGACGCTTTGCATGACGTCATAAACATGGTGACCATCCTCGTTAACATTCCCCTGCGCATTTCGTAGCCAATCAATAGCTAATGGTCGGAAAAACTGAAGTCTATCATACCATGAGCTTCGCGAAGGTCCTGTATTGACGTAATCTCCTTCGTGGCTTACAACTCCACGCGAGTGGCCTGGAATCGGGTCTTCATCAGTTGTCAAGTTTTGATAAACAACACCAGTACCAGTCTCTTGTGACGTACTCACCCTTTCATTACAAGGAGCAAGAGTCACACAGGGGAGTAGTTCACCGTTTTCCTGAGGCTGATGCATATTCTGACCACGGATTTGTTCAGAAGAGAATTTCACAATGGCGTAAAACGGAATTCCTATATAGTGCATGAATTGAAATGAAGACACGATATTGTTACACAAAAATTTTTGGTTTCGCGATGCACAAACTGTTCATCATAAATTCATGAATCGGATCACCGCGCCAGGAATTATGATTAAAATACTGACAGGAAGACTATGCGTAATTTTCACCTTAATCTCACCTCTTTTTCCACGTCGTTTGCGACGAATGAAAAGATAGCTTAGGATGACGACGACTATCACAAAGGTAGCAGCAACGATGGAACCGATCGTCTTGGTGTAGGAGACAACTTGAATATATTGATAAGCAGAAATAATTATAATTCAACCTCTCTTTGATATCACACGATACTCAGCACCACACGTACGATCTTACCCTGGCAAGGTCCTTTTGCGCACAGTCGATTTTCATGATCCGCTCCTTGCTTACTGCAGTTTCCACCAAATTTTCCCGGGGGGTTATCACAGTTTCGTACCCAGATTGCAACACCCTGACCACACGAGACACTACATGGCGACAATTTTGTCCAATTGCCATAGTTTCCATCGACTGGAAACGAAAATGTCGTGTCACTTTTGTGATCCTTATATTTACGCGATATCGAACGACAAACGATCAGCGTATCGTTAGAGCCTTGGAGATCTCAATATAGAACTGACAGAGTTCTTAAAATGAGTTAAATCTAGGTTTCCTTATTATTATTATTAAACTTTATTTACACACGGTATTCTCAATCAGGATTTTCATGCTGACAAATGACAAGATTATGAATTACAAAATAAGACTACAAAAATATTTACAATGATAAATCAAACTAATAATTAATATACCTGCTTTTCATGAGAGCCGTGTAAGGAATATATGCAAGAAATATAATATAATACAAATGTGAATGTAGATTAAAATAATTTGGAACAGCCCGCTTTAAAATTTAATAGGTTATTTGCTAGCCGTAGCCCAATCGGTAGGCTGTTCCATAGCATCGCACCACTATAACTAAAACTATTCTTGAGATAGTTTGTGCGAGGCTTAGGAACAGCCAGCTTACTATTTTTCTCAACGAATAAGGATTGACCTGTCACTGTTACAAACATGGAAACCCATGGTATTGTGGAGCAAGTCCATTGATTTATAAACCATGACAGCCTTTTGAAACTGGCGTTGGGAAGATAACTTTTTCCAGCCAAGTCTATCGAGTAAGATGTCGGCATTAGTGTCATAGCTTGAAAAGGTCAAAACTCTCGCTGCGCGATTTTGTAGTTTTTGAAGTTGATCTGCCAAGGTTTTATTGCAATTGTCCCAAACTGTACAGCAATAATTGAAATATGGCTGGACAAGGGAATTAAAAATTAAATACAATGTTGCAACTGGGACAAATGAACGAACGAGTTTTAAAGCGCCAATACCAGAAGCAATTTTTTTTGTTAATTCCTTGATCTGTATATTCCAAGATAGATTTTCATCAAGGTGAACTCCTAGAGATTTTGTATGTGAAACCTTGTCTATAGGAATTCCGTCTATTTTAAAACATGGGTCTGATTGGAAAGTAGCTATTCTTTGTCGTGAGCCAATTAGCATAAATTCAGTTTTGGATTGATTCAATGTAAGCCTATTGGCGATAAGCCATTTATTAACATTTTCAAGATCTTGATTAAAGTAATAATCTATATCTTCAATTTTATTGCTTGCAAATGTTAAATTGGTGTCGTCTGCATACATTCGTGCTTGGGAGTGCTCAAGACAATTTGGCAAGTCATTTATATACAATAAAAATAGCAATGGTCCCAAAATAGTTCCCTGTGGAATACCACAAAGTAACGTACGGTTGGTAGAAAGATGGCCATTGACATAACATTTTTGACTGCGGTTACTTAAATAAGACCTAAACCAGTTAGCCACAGCACCCCCAAGACCATATGCTGACAGTTTTGACAACAAAATTTCATGGTCAACTGTATCAAAGGCTTTCTTAAGATCTAGGAAAACGACAGCATTGACCAGTCCTTGGTCAATATTGTAGGCCCAGCTATTAGTAGATTCTAGAAGTGCAGTAACAGTTGAATGCAAACGTCGAAATCCAGACTGGCTATTACATAGTAAATTGTTCTCAGTAAGAAAACCGTAAATTTGATCATAAATAATTCGTTCGAAAACTTTCGCCACAACCGGTATTATCGCAATTGGGCGATAATTATTTAAGTCTCTACGCTCGCCCTGTTTGAATAATGGAATGACTTTTGAGCATTTCCATTCTTCAGGAAAGATACCGGTAATGATAGAGCAGTTAAAAATTACGGCAAGGGATTCCGAAAGCAAGTCAGGACAATGACGAAGAAGCTTGGCAGATATTTTGTCTAGCCCAATTGCTTTGGACTTACAAAGTTTGTTAAGAAGCGAATAAACTGATGATGGGGTTATTGACTTAAACTCTATATTATTGTTACTATTGTGGCAAGTAAGATATTCTAAATACGAGCGATTGTTTTCTTCGTCAGGTATTTTTTCCTTAAGCTTAGGTCCAATAGTAGCAAAATGAGTATTAAACGTCTCAGATAGGTCCGAGGGGTCAGTAATAGAAACTTCTTATATTTGTGGAACAAAAGACAGACTATTCAGTGAAGGAAAGTTACTGTAGACATAGTTCGTTTAATCCATACCTGGACATGGTTTTTTTGTACAATTCTTTAAATCGAATGACTTCCCAAGTTTACTGCAGTTACTGCCTCCGTATTTTGGTTCTGGATTATGACAAGTACGTCGCCATATTTCCACTCCTGCACCGCACGAAACATTGCATGGGACGTTCAAACTCCAGCTGGTACAACCACCGTTAACTAGAAATATGAGTAAAGAAATATTGAAATGCCTTTTGCACATATTTCAAAAACTCTCTTAGGAATTTATTAGAGTGGCAGCTAGCTTACCAGGACAGGGTGTTGGCTGACATGATCTGTACTCAATAGCTTTTCCTAGATGACTACAGTTTCTTCCACCAAACTTTGGCTCAGGATTGTTGCAATCTCGTGTCCATGTTTCAAAACCTCCACCACAAGTTACATTACACGCACTGCTCAATGACCAGTTGCCATAATTACCATGAACTAGTAAAACAATGAAATTTGTCTAAGAATAGAAACTTTGATCAATAATTTCCTGAGCATTAATTTGCCTAGAAATGTTCCTAGATGACTTGTCATTACTTCGAAACGGGACGGGGATTTGCTTCAGTTCTTAGATAATTCAAGATTGTTTATGATTATCATACCTGGGGTACATTTTGGGACATCACAGTACTCCCATCTTTTGTTCCTATCTGTAGTGAAACTCCAAGGTCTTTGTCCGGAGTTTTTAGGATTACGACAGTAATTCTCAGCGTTATTTAATTCTGGATACGTGGTGTTCATGGTATGACGATGGGGACATTGTTCTGTCCATGACTGACAAGGAATACCTGAGCCTGTCACTGATATGTTGCCATGGTAGCTGCTTCCGTTTAAGTATAGACAATCTAAGCAAAAATATATGGCTATTTAATTTCTATCCAACAAATTATAGCGCTTATTTTTATACTGGGCACTGCTCAAACAACCATAAAAACTCCCTAAGTTGTTTTGAAATTGTTTCATACCTGCATTTGTTGTCCATTCCGGAGCTTGAATTGCAACTAGATGAGGCAAAGATAGGTTATGAACATTTTTTACACGGCACATGTACAATGCAAACAGACATTCTTGTGTTTATTGTCTCATTCTCATATTACCTGGAGAATCTTCAAGTTCAATATACCAGCATTCTGGGGAGTCACCGGCATTTCTGTAAGGCTGTAGTTCGCACAAAAGAACTTTTTTAAACTCCGGATCTGGATTATTAATTATTAGAACCTTTTCAATAAAATCCCAAATTTTTTCACATATACGAATACCATTAAGACATGTTTTTCGACAAATATTTTGTTTTTTATACTCGCTCTGGGTTCCCTCGCACCTCGGGAAATTATCGTGACAAATTAATGGCACAACAGCATGTACGCACTTTATCACCGTGTCGTTGTCCAAATTAAAAAATCTGCTTATTTTAGGCGCGCCAAGCTTGACATATCGGTCGTACACTCTGTTGTACTCATTATTGCTATAGCTTTGCTGATCCGGCGTTTTGTATATGTAGTCTGACAATGTGACTCCGTGATTCTGACAGAAAGGCCTGGTGAAATTCACCAAAGGATAACATCCACTTGAGTTGAGCATTGGCTCGGCTTCGGCAGGAATACACGTCCTAAAATAGAAATTAAGACTGAAATTCTCTTTTAAACATGGGTGTGACATCTGCAACTTTTGTGTTGGAAACGTCAGAAGCCATCGGTTTCATCTAATTTGATAATAATTATTATAATTATGGGATAATAATTATTATAATTATCATAATAAAATATTGCGAAGTTAATGGAGCATCAATATTGTCTGCAGTGTGATTTCCACTGCCGGCATCACCTTATCTCAGCAGATATAGGACGGATCGTAACATCTAAGACTTAGGATATCTGCTTACGTTTTACTGAGTGACACACTTTCATCTCACATAAATTTCCGAATCAACTATGTTCGCATCGCCAGAGTCCAGAAACCATTTAAACCGTCCTTGATTGACACAACTATTCGGGTTCACGACGGGTTGCAGCTGTCAGCAATTGCGTGCAATAACCATTTGTCTGAGATTTGAGAGAGTGTAGTGTGTGCAATTCGTAATCAAAGATTACCGAATGGATAACATTATGCATTTGAAATAAACCACAGAAATACAGGCTAGTTGATACCCAATGAATAACATAATTATTTACAACAATGATTGACAACATAACAGGATACAACATAACAACACGACAGACAAAAATTAAAACTGGAAAATAGTATTAAAATGCTGAACCTATTTAACCTGTTTGTTAAGGTCTGGTTTGTGTTTGCGTATGTACAGAGCATCCTTGAGTTTGAGAGAGAAGGATGTGTTAGCAGTGTCTTAGTGGATACTGGATAGTAAAGTAAGATTGGGACGCCGTGGCCGGGGGGGGGAGGGCAGAGGGGGCCATTCCCCCAGGATTAACACCTGTCGGAAATTTACGAACATTCCATGTTGTCGGAACTATATCAATCACAACAAAGACTAAGTTATTTTTGCATTTGTGGCTGTGTTATGCTGAGCAACCCAAAAGTATTTGAAAATAAACTATCAGAAAATAGACGCAGTTATTTCTAATGCTATATGGTACGACACTACCCCAATTATTGTTCAGTGAGTTTATTTCATTACATGGTCAATGGCTCCAACTCCAAGCAGAAAATGGTGCAGAGTTCAATGTCTCCTGTGTGAGATGTAGTTTCACAGAGACTATCGCTCTCGACAGTCGACACAACAAAAAATATCATGACGACCGTCTAAAGAAACATCAGCATGTTCCGTATCAGAATGCTGGCGCTCCAACAAATTATTTTAAGGTTCAGAAGTACTATTAGTCAAACGGTTCTTGGGGCCGGTTGTATCAAGCCTGTTTAGCTTAATTAAAATAGAATTATAGAAAGCAAGTCTAACGTTTTATTCAACAAGCAAACTAAATGTTTTTACCTTAATACAACGATACTGTCTACAACTACATATTCAGTACAAATATTCAAGTTGACTCATTCCAGAGAGATGTAGCTAACCGTGTTATTTAATTTTGACTTATCCACCGTTTAAGCTAAACGGGCTTGATACAACCGGCCTCTGAAGTTTATACAAAGATAAGGTACCAATACAATAATACAGCGGAGGAACTAAACTAATTAGAGGATTGAAGCAATTGCGAATTATTTATGTTTATGTTTTAGTTATAAACAAAGGTTGCAGATAGAACATGCTCATCCACTAGGATTACAAAGCTATAATAGAATATCGTGAAATAACGTTTCAGAAATAAGAAATTGCAGATAGAACATGCTCATCCACTAGGATTACAAAGCTATAATAGAATATCGTGAAATAACGTTTCAGAAATAAGAAATTTCTGTAATACAGTTTTCCCACAAACAGTTACCTGTAACAAAACTTATTAGGTACTCAATTGAAAAGCGTATGTAAAACGTGAATATTTATCAGTCATATTCATTGTGCATGAAGCGTCAATTTAAATTATAGTACACGTAACTCGTTGCGCGTCCTTGCCCATGCAAAACCGCTCTGTCAGTGATTTTAACAATTCTTTTTTCGTATAAAGATGTCGGGAAAAAAACGTGTTAGGGTTGGAATAATGTTGCCTTTGGCCACCCCTAAATTAGCACACTCACGGCGCCCCTGAAGTAAGAGAGGGTGTATTTTATTTTAGATTTGCAGTTAGGGTTTTGTCAGTGGAGGTGTGTTCTTTGATCCACGTGACGGGTGGTTTCACCAATGTAACAGGAATTACATCCTGTGCAAGTAAATTTATTTACCACGAAGGATTTAAGATCACTACGGATTGTGTCCTTAAAGCTGAAAATGTTTTTGATTTTGTGGGAGTGTGATTGTGAGTTTGATTTTTGATTTTGATGAAGTGAACACTAGCTTTATGTTAATATATACTGCAAAATTCAAATCGTTTGGCAATGCCTTGAGGAGATTCTGTTCACTAATTTGAGTAATGGAACGTTGGGTTGTTGTTGACTAGACAAATTGGTGTTGAGAGTGTTTGTTGTTTTTGAGTTGTTGTTACAATAACAGGCAAAACTCACAAACAACGAACACTCTCAACACCAGTTTGTCTAGTCAACAACAACCCAACGTCTTTACTTCAAAATCATGCTATTATCACAGATGTTATATAATTATGGGACACTACTCTCAAATTACTGAACTGTCTGTCAACATAAACTCATAAAGTTAGTGTTCACTTCCCACAAAATAAAAAACATCTTTAACTTTAAGGACGCATTCCCTAGTGATCTTAAATCCCTCGTGGTATATAAATTTACTCGCGCTGGATGAGATTTAAAGAAATTTAGTTTGACCTTTTTTCTTCAACCGCTAACCGCAAACCGCGGCTTGACGATGAAATTTTGCCGTTTGACATTTGCGGTTCACGTTTTCAACCGCTATAAAAGTGTATTTTAACGTAGCTCATTTACCTCAGCAAATTGTCATTGCAATAATGTCTCGTTTCACGTACAAACACTCCTAGTAGACATATTGGATATCCAAATCTTCTTTGTGGTAATTTTCTAGCCTGTTTTCAACTTTTTCAAGTTTCAACGAGTTTGCCGATTTTCTTTAGGAAAACGGCTACCACTATTCAATAACACGATTGGCAATATGGCGGTTTACCATGATGTCGTAGGTCGATTGTCTGTTATTAAAATGGAGGTTCTTTTCAACTTTTCCAGGTGTAAACGACATTTGATTTTAAAAAAATTGAAGCATTAGAAATAGCTAGAAGCAATTCAACAGCGAAACTGTTTACTGGGTACCAATTTTGAATCGTTCTAACATAAGGTATAGGTATAAGTGACTGCTATAACTAAATGTCAAATTTGCAACAACTGCAACGCAAAACCGCTAACGTGAAACTGCGGTTTGCGGCTTATCGCATGTTTTGGACAGTTGCATGACATTTTATTACTCCGCCTGCGTATGCGCAGCGGAGTCTTAAAATGCCATGGTCTTTTTTCCTTTTAGTAGTCGTAGTTTTGGGCGACAGAAGTTGGCATTTCTACAGGTAACCCAAAACAACTTCATTTTTGACCGAGAAGCCCTGGGTTACACGGTCCACGGATGAATAATGTAAATCAGTTGGCATGTAGGCGGAGTGAACGCCTTGAGCAGGCGTCTTGTTTATTATATAAGTTGCGTTAATTAGCAATTACAGACTACGTCATTGCCGCATGATATGTAATTGATTATTAGTTGAGCGAACAGGCGAAGTAAAGTCGCACCTTAATTAAGGCAAGCAAGTGAAATGAGCGTTTTAGACAGTTCGAGCGTTAGGAGATCCACCCTTGAAGTACTATTTTATAGTCTATATAGTATGTGGTGAATTTAGTTAGCTTTATAGTCGATTTTAACGAACATTTAATTATTACATTATCTTTGTTATTGTAAAATATGATTGGAATGTGCATGTTATATCTTTGTAAATTTGTGATTTTAAAATTAAATTAAAAGGGAATTTCCTTGCGTATCGCAGTTTTGTCACCCTGGCATGTGTCCTCACCACCGTAAACGTCTAACTAAAACTCTGTATTGGTCAGTGAAACCACCCGTCATGATGGCGTCATCTCGCCACAAGGATCAAAGAACATGCATCTCCACTGAAAAAAACTCACACGTCTATACAAACCTAGCTATTTCCGTCTTGCACAGTCTATACAAACACCGACAAAACCCTAAATGCAAATCTAAATACACCCGCTCTTGCTTTACTATCCTAGACTGACTAGACATGCACCGCTAACACCTCCTTCTCTCTCGAACTCAAGGAGGCTCTGTACATACAAACACAAACCATACCTTAACAAACAGGCTCAGCATTTTAATACTATTTTCCAGTTCTGATTTTATATATTTCACAATTAAATGTAAATAGATTCATTCGCACTGACGATGGCTTATTTTTAAGTCGAAACATGTTTGCAAATAAAAATTATTTCAAATGCTTGATTACTCTTGTGGTATTCAGATCATATGGTAACATTCTACCTGTTACTGTCGTGAAGATGGTGTTCATCTAATAGAAATCAAGGCAAAAATATTACTTAATTTTTCACACCTATTCCGTAATACAAACAGACAATTCAAATTGCCGTAGAGATTCAATACCTGCAATGTTTTGTCGCGAAATTGTCGCTAAAATCAGTAGGACACCAATAAAGTTGATGAAATTGACGACTTTTGTCAGAAATTCTGCATACATTCTCCTGGACTTTGGTGGCGTACCTGGCCAAATGCGGCGGTCTGCAAAACCGTGGTGTATTCAATTGCTGTAAAAGTTACATTTCTTAACCATTCTCGCAGAAATGCACAACTTCCTGTAAACAATTATCAATGATTTCCTTGAGCGGCAGCCAAGCATGGATAATTGACCGACAGAAAAATTCCTTCCAGAATGATACAACGTTATTGCTCACAGAAGACATTAGTTATCTCGTTCAGTTAAAATGCAAAAGCTATTAACAGAAGCAAAAATAGGAACGACTATGTTGAATCGTAATTGCCGGGTAATAAATATTACTTCACTAAAAACACAAATATATAAACTCAAAAAAGTGACTTGGAATCGCACGGGAATCGCTAAGCTGGGGAGATATAGGGTAAATGTTTTCACAGCAATCATGCTATCGAGTTAGTCCTGAAGCTAAATTAACGTAGTTAGTTTTATTAGAATTATTAAAACTAGGACGCAACGATTCTCGATATCAATATTTCAAGATGTTTCTTTCGTCTCAGCATTCTCCCCAAGACATTGAGTTGTAACCACCAGAGGTCTTTCAGGTGTATCATAAATTGAATCACTTGTTTCCATTCTTCTTCTGGCCGAGTCTTTCTGCGCGGTGTTTTCAACTTGTCGTACGGAACGGAACAAAAACCTGTCTGATACGTTGCATGACGTCATACACATGGTGACCATCCTCCGCCATATTTTCCAGGGGGGTTGTGACAGGATCAGATTTCAATGCCCTGACCACAAGTGGCACTACATGGCGACAATTTTGTCCAGTTGCCATAGTTACCATCCACAAAAAATAGAAATGTTCGTTGTGTCACTTTTGTGTTCCTCAAATGATATCAACAGGTATCCTTTGGATGATCAATCTAGAACTGATTCCGCTATTCTGCATGAACAAAATGATTTAGTTTAGGTTACTTTCTGTATTGACGTCCGATTGACACCTGTAGGAAGAACCGTTCGGAGAACGACAAACTATCCAGTTGGTTATGTTTATAATCATACTTAGTTTAATCCTCGCCTGAGCATCGTTTTTTGGCACCCTTCCTTAACCTGATTGACTTCCCCAGTTCACTGCAGTTACTGCTTCCGTATTTTGGTTCTGGATTATCACAATTATATCGCCATATTTCCACTCCGAAACATTGCAAGGGACATCTAAGCTTCAGTTGCTATAACAACCGTGAACTAGAAATATGAGATGAAAGATACTGAAATACCTTTCCTCGCGTGTACCTTTGATTCATTTGCGAAATAACATCGTTTAAAAAAAGTCTAATTGAGATTTGTTCGTATTGCTTGCTTCTACCTTGTTGACTCTCTTTTGACAAACGGTCACAAACCCCGCAAGAAAGAGGTAGCTTACTAGCTTACCAGGGCATGGTGTTGCCTGACACGGTCTATACTCAATAACTTCTTTTAAATCGGACTACAGTTCCTTCCACCATATTTTGGCTCAGGATTGTTGCAATCTCGGGTCCATGTTTCAAAACCTTTCTGGGCCGATAGAAGTCATATTTTTTAAAGTTTTAAAACGAACAGTGGCGTTCAGAAACACATTAACTAAAACACTGGGTTAAACTTTAATCCAGGTTAGCGCTAACCTAGCTTTGAACAACCAGGCCGAAAATATATTTATGAAAAGATATTTTCAACTTTGTTAGCAAGCGATTAAAAAATTCATTTAAAGATTTGCTTTATTCCATGGTTAAACCAACCGGTTGCACAGCCGGCCCTGATAGGTATTCTGTTGTTTAATCTCTGTCCTACTTAAATCCAAAAAAAAATTCGTACTGAGGCAGCTTGAATTGTTAAAAAAAACTGCGGAAAAGTTTTTCAACAGTTAGTCACAATTGTTAGTCACTATGTCAGAGGCTTGCTTGCTTGCTTTCTTAAATGCTTGCCTTGGACCATTACGTCACACTCAACACTATGTCACACAACCATGTACGTCACACTCGGCAGTTTTCGCCATTTATCGCCAACCTTTCCGGTGCAATCAAATATGCAATTCAAATGCAAATTATTTTAGTATCAACATAGCTTTTCTATATGTACGTTGTTTTGCATACATTTTTGAGCTGTTTGAACTTTGCACGTCTTACTCAAATATAGTAATCAATATTTAAACGACACATATGGTCTTCTAGTGTGAAAACAGCTACAGTATTTAGACGACATCTGCAGACCGCCGACAGCAGGCGATTTGTTTGTCTATAGACGATTTGTTCGTCTTCTGATGTGAAAACGGCTAATCGCTCACATTTTATGAAATTTGGAGTTAATCAATACGGCGGATGCGTTGCAAAACCAAATGCAATTTCTATACTTTAATAGTAACATGTAATATTTGTAGATGTGAATGCTGTCTGCTGAAACTTTAGCATATAGCTCACATGCACAATCAGTTTCTCTAAACATAAGTAGAGGCAGGAACGCAAAATAAAAGGCTGCGTCATTCTACTTAAAATTATGCTTCGGCCGAGGAGGTCTGAACATGATCCCAATTATTTTATACATCGTCACGCATCGTCATTCATCAGCATTAACTTTATTGCCATCATTGAATATGATCAATGGATGTGGTAATTATTGGCATGGTGAATAAAATAGCCTGCTCATTTAGGAAAGAATGACCCCCTTCATTAATCATCAGCAATGGACGGTGATAATAATATGCCGATCCTCACTAATCCATTGTATTCTTCTCCGACTGACAAAGGATTTTATACATGCAACAATGACCTCCGGTAATGACATGTCCCATTCTTTTGACTACAGTAGTGTCAACCACGCGCTTTAGTATAAAAAGTCACACCCAGTTTGGGACTTCGAACCCCAAATGCAAGACAAACGGGTATGAGTCGTCATTCAAAAGCAAAGTATGATATTCTGGCGGAGAAAGAGAAAACTCTAATGCCAGTGCAGATCTCAAACTATCTGATCGGTCCAGGCTGGAAAAGTACAGAAGATGAATACAAAACAACAACTATTAGCACTAGCTATTCTGCCAGCTAAATCTATGATACCACTCAGATGACAAAGACTGCAGAGCGGTAGTCACATCTACGCGCTGCGTACCTATTTTTTTCTTTGGCAATTTAAAGTCGAATCCTACCTAAAATTGTTTTCCATTCAGGGGATGGAATTGCAACTAAGTAAAGTTTTTCGAGTAAAGATGTAGATTTGTCGAATGATGTTCTTATGGTAAAAAGTGTTTAGATTTAATCAAAGTATTTTATAGAAAGTTGAAGTTGCATCACGCGAACTTTGCAGCTCACCCAAAAATCGGTTGCCACTGACATTGTATGTTGATTTAATTACCTAATTTTAACTTGGCATGAGATCGATTTGAACACAATTACAAACGCGAATACGCGATCTGCAATATTGTCGCTTCCAGCTGTCAGTGGCGTCGTCAGCAACGATAAGTGGGGTGGACATATTCATATATTCATGTTCACAGACCGTAAAAACAAATAATTTGAAAAGAAATGAATAATTTAAAACACGAATATATGAATACCACCCCACTTATCATGCTGGCTACGCCACTGCCAGCTGTATACAGTGGCTAATAATAAGCTAAGCCTAAGTTAAGATCATATATATACCTTCCATTTATTATAATTAATATTTTATTAAAAGATTTCAGTGGAAAGAAAGCAAAGCGATGGCATATTGCAGTTTTCTTCAAATGTTATTGGTGTGTTTTTTCTACTTGGCATACTTTTGCCAGCGTTTCAGACTGGCTTCAGCAGGTGAGCCGGATAAATTATATAACTATATACATGCATATGTTTCCTTTGACGCTGGCTGTAAGTGTTGGAAGCCGTTTTGCGCTACATCGAAATTAGTATTACAACGGATTAGTATTAATTGATTGCATGGATGTTACAAAATGCGAAGCTCTGATGAAGATTCGTATTTCATTTGTTGCTGTGGAATAAGAAATAACAGATGAATAATAGGTTGCTTGAACCATTTGTAAAAATCACTATCCGGTGGATCGGCGCTATCCAGCTTTCGTACAACCGGCCCCTGATGTATAAGGGCTTTTATAATATAATCCGTAAATAATTCACTCGTTATCCCGTCTATATATAGAAGAAATCGCACCGAAAATCGCAAATAGAATAATAAGATTGCAAGTGTAAACGAGCATTTTGAATGCTTTCAGTTTCGGTTTCAATTTCAATGCACAGCGGGGCATTGAAATACATGCAGGTCGGCGTATTTGGCATTTCCTTGGACGACAGCTCGTTTGAGATGAATCGTTTTTGTGTACGGCTGTCACTTTAATATGTATTCGAAATCAAAGATCAGAAATGAAATCGAATAACAAGAGTCGAAAAACAGAAATTTCCCAAGAGAAATAGTCACACTTAGTAGATAAAGATCTGGCAATGCAAAGTCGCGCATGCGCAAACCCTTGACTGTGGTGCTGTTCCAAATACGAATCGAACATAATGAAATGAATAGCCTTCTAAAGTGCTTACGTCACACAGTTTTCTATCTATACAATTTTGTCCCACTTGTTTCCCAGATTGCATTGCGATTCATTGTTCGAGACCGACATGACGTAAGCACCTCAAAGGTCTATTAATGAAACAATATTAATCAGGGGTGGATCCAGCACTAGTGCATGACATTTGCATGAAACAAGAAAACTGCTGAAAATAACCTGTTTGTTTTGTAATGCAAATTTGTGCACTAGTGCTGGATCCACCCTGATATTAATCATATACAGGGTGTCCCAAAAAAAAAGCAACCACTTAAATATGCAGTACATTAATACAGCTCTAAAGCACAATAGATAAGCACCTCTGGGAATTGAAAATGGCTCTTAATCCTTCATTTACAATGCTAAAAGTCATTTTAGCTGAACTATGGTGCAAACCCGAACAATATTAATATTTTTGCATATTTAAGTGGTTGCGTTTTTTTTGGGACACACTGTAGTCATGGTTTTCCACACGAGTATAACCTTGAATCAATATTTTTTGAGAACTGTTCTTCTCTTGATATTACATTAAACATGATAAACTCTGTGGTGTATTTAATCGTCAGGAACAATTACTCTTACTAGGAACAATTGCCGGGGATCATATTGCCGAAAGACATCGTCTATTAGAATTCCTCACAAATAATTCAGATATCAAGAAGGAAATTCTCCCAGCTCCTGTTATCAATAAACCGGTTAATGTTGAAGTGAGAATCAAATTGCGACAAATTGCTGATGTGGTAAGCTGATAAACTTTTGAGTCTGTACATGATGGCATTTAATAGAAAGTAGTGCAACGATAAAGAAAACTAGAAATACGCATAATAGATTTTTCTGGTAGGGGTAATCTATATAAAAAATCTAAGGGAATATTTTTAGAGTATTAAGGAAGATTCAAATTAGAAAAATCACTATCTTCATTAAGTTTACTGTTAGGGGCTTTTTATTTATTCGTAAACATTTTTTAAGCAAAGGGCCAGGGCCTGTATTGTAAGGATTCTGTCTTTCCCTTTCGTTATTAGAACGAGAAGAATCAAGCAGTTCGTATTGTAGTGTGGCTCAGGTTGCAGTGGAATAATCCATTGTTGAGATGGGATCCTGAGCAGTACGGAGGGATCAAGAGTGTTAATGTTAATAATAAATATTTCTGGCTGCCTGATGTTGCAATATTCAACGAGTAAGTTTTGTATATCTTTACTTCGAGACTTATATCTTTACATAGTGTAACACCGCCTTAACTTATGCTGCTATAATCTCCCAATAATATTTATCAAAATATGCCGGAACATTATTATTCTGAATGTCAATGACAATGTATAGTACGTCATTGGTTTGTATAATGAACACGGCGCTTAGAACACATACACAATATATACAGTCCTCATTGAGACCTTTTTTTTCCATAAATGATATAGCAACCAGAATTGCAAAAAAGACCGAATAATCTGTAAATTAAAGTTAAATATAACATTCGTCTAGCGTTCAAAATTAAAACATGAAAACGTTGTCAGTTTGTTTTTAAATTCCTGCATGATTTATTCTTTAAATTGTCGTAACTTCTTCTTGTTATGACAAGAATAAAAAAAATGAAATTTTTATGATACCTATATAGCCCTCGACCTAGCCGTTCAAAAAAAAAGAAAAGCAGTGTGCTAGTTCACATACCGACTTTTCATTACCTTGAAGACAATCCGAACAAATTCTTCTTTATATTGGTAAGTCCATGATCTCTATTATTTCAGGGCAAGTCAAGAAGATGAAATTGAAATTCTCCACAAACGTTTAGTGACGAAATTGGTTATCTCCAAAGATGGTAATTGTACTTGGAGTGCTCCAGTAACATTGAACAGTCAGTGCCGAATAGATGTCGCTCGCTTTCCCTTTGACGAGCAAACATGTCAGGTTTCAATAGGTTCTTGGACGTATTCCGGATATAAAATCAACGTGTCACACTCCGACGAGAATGTAGCCATGATTGATTATATCAGAAACGGAGAGTGGGATGTTAAAAGCGCGATTTTGAGTCAGAATTTCAGATACTATCTTCCTGATAACATACCCTACCCCGACATCACATTGACCTTGAAAATTAAACGACGTCCACTGTACTACACATTGCAACTAATACTTCCGTTGGCGGTCATCTCAATGCTGACGTTTTTCAGTTTTATTCTGCCTTTAAAGAGCGAAGGGCAAATATCAATTTTGATCACTCTCGTTGTTGCAATTTCTGTTTTTTCAATAATAATATCGTCTGTGTTACCAGAGACTTCAGACAGCGCCTCTGTTCTTCAAACATATTGTATTGGGATTTTTCTATCGGTTACCATGGTTTCATTTCCAGCAGTTATGACGACGAGGCTAGTAAATTACTCCTACCCAATGCCAAATTGGTTTCGTAAATGTATGAGAATTCCAAAGAAGCAAAAAGAGAAGGAGGTGGGAGCTGATAACCATATTAATGAAATAGATGCGAATGAATCGCAGCGGAACTCCGTCCGCAAAAATCATGAGAGCGTCAACGAGACTGAAGAATATAAAAAACAGTGGAAAACTGCTGCAAAAGTTATTCACAGAATTGGTCTGCTGTGTTTCCTCCTATGCTTCGCGGGTTTTAATATTTTCTTGCTGGTAGAATACAAAAGATAAAAACACAAGTTCCAATTTCGAGCAGTAGTGTGAACTTGATAAAAAATTACTTAGTATATCCTGTACGATATAATGAAAACGCATGGCAAATAATGTTGTATTCAACCAGGCTAGTTACGCACGATAGTTTATTTTAAGGTCTTCGTGATGTTTTTGCAAGCACTTTTATTCTACTTGCTAAGTTATATATATTAATGTAATAACAACATTTTAAATGTTTTCGCTAATACCAAAAGTCCAAAGGCATGATTTAATCTTAACCAACTATTTGTATAATTGTACGCGGGGTTTGTGTAAGAGAATTTATTTATAATATTGGTTTGTGTTAGAGCGTTGTATAGAAATTTCACTTTAAAGTCTGAACGGAAAATGTCCTACTATACCTAAAACCTCTTTAATCGAATAGACCTTTTTCATAATGACATCAAACGCGGAAAGTCTGATGTTACACGAAGTTTGATTGGCTCGACAGTTTTGTGGAGCCAATTAAATTTCGTGTAACATCAGTCTTCCCGCGTTTAACGTCATTATAAGAAAGGTCTATTCCTGTCTCCATTTTCAACTTTCAAGTATCCCTTGTGATGACTGCATGAAGACAAAAAACAGTCAAAGATTTTTAAGGTTTGCTGAAGTACCAAACAAGAATACGGTAGAGCTGAATTTTTCAGCTAAAAAGAGAGACAAAAGGCCGTTGTCTCTCTCAAACTGATAAATTGCTTTGCAAGCGTAGAATTGGAGCACAATAAAATTGGAAGCATCCTTAAGTGCATGGCATCTTTTCTGAACCCTAATAAAAGACTAGCGAACCACACCATGAGGACACAGTGCAAATGCTGAACGGCAACGTCTGTGCTATATGAAATTACCAGCCATTTACAAAAATAGCTCCTCAGGTGACGACTACGAGATAGATGAAAACCAAATCACGAAAGGATCTGTCCCACACCACAACTTACATGAGCGGTTATAAAGCTGAACACAACAATAATCAAGGCCAGTACTAGCCTACGCGTAGACTCAACTTAAGTTATAAGTAGAGTCTACGCATCAGCGTTAAAAAGCTTGTTCAATCACGTGGATTTCCCCACAAATATGGGGAACGCTTGTGATTGGTCAGTTGATAAATATTCAGGATACTGACCAATCACAAGCGTTCCCCACATTTGTGGGGATGCCACGTGATTGAACAAGCTTTTTAACGCTGATGCGTAGACTCTACTTATAACTTAAGTTGAGTCTACGCGTAGGCTAGGCCAGTACTAGCTGGTTCTGTGATGACCAAGAGAGGCTGCATGAAAGTCACCAGAACCAGGGCTGTAGCAAAGCGGGAGTGTATATTTATGCATGTATAGTGTATACATACCGTAGGAACAATCTTGTCGAAAAATCTGTTGGGCATTTTTGACTTTACATTTTTTCGTAAACGCACGAGACTTCTAAGGGCTACATATTTATCACCACAAATATAGTTATTATATACTGTCATATACAAATATTCTTCAAATTTATGACTAAGGAGAGGAAATATCCACTTATCAAATTGTCTGTCTGTGTTGTGAACGTCTGTTGAACATCCCTCATGCTCGCAATTGAATCGATGACATAATAGTATTACGCTTCAACAAGTTGCTGCAACTTAAAAAAACCATGTTTCTGGGTGCAGTGGTTCAGTCCTGTTTTCACCGACTCTAAACAATCTGTCCATTTTTAGCTGTAAACTAAATAGGCTAATGAAATACCAAAAATAAACCCTTTTCATACCATATTGTACCCCTTCTTTCTCTAAACCGGCATCCCTGGCTCTATGCCTACTAAACACCAAGTTACTGCAAGCATTTCATTACATCGTACAGTTGGGCAGCGGAGTAAGTAAATTAATAACTTAGTTACCCCCTTAAAACGTTAGTACTTATAACTTAATTCACATGTTTGTCGCCGTTGTTTTAGTTTCGGAATACCAGCTAACTTCTCTCTACTAGAAGAAGAATTTATTCACCCATTATAAATCATTAAAATTATTTACATTGTTAATATTAATAATAGATGTGGGTATTATCCGCCCAAAATAACCATAAGGGCTAACTGGATTGGGCAAATAACGTCCATAGACAGCATAGTGAAGATTTCCGATATTTAATCAGTCGGCAAAAATTTCAAAACAAGACAAACGTGTCAGAAAAAAGAAAAAAAAAACAAACCAAAAAACCAACACACATCAAAAGACAAAAGCAAGAAACACAATTTAAAAAACACAATTCAATCACATTTTAGATAAAACAATATGAAGAATTGACCTAATACGACTCAATAAAGCGAAGTTTTAAACAGATTTTTAACTGAGACGCTGACAACTTTTTCTCACTTTCAGGCAGAGAGTTCCATATTTTAGGTCCTTGATATCTTATATTAAAAATTCCGAAATTAGTTCTGGTTTTTGGTAAAGAATATGTTTGCTTAGATGCTAATCTAGTGTTGTAGCTATGTACTTTGTTTACTGGAATAAATAGGTCATTGAAGACGAAAGGTAATTTATGATGATAGTAGCGATGCATAAATATAGTAATAAATATAAAGATAGTCATGTACTCTTCTCATCTCGTACAATAATAGTAGCTAACCATCTTGTGAGGTATAAAAAAATTGTGTATCAACGATGTGCTAGTAACTACCACTATTTCCGTTAGTAATGATATATATAAAAGTATTACTTGACTGTGATTGGTTGATTTCAGTGCAGTTAATCCTAAACAACAGTGCAAAATCTGTAATCACAGTGCAATTTTCTGTGATCACTGTGAACCAATCAAATTATATATATATATATTATTAATAAGTAATAGCATGGTTTCTCGTGAAATTTGGATACAAATATTTAGAGGTCTTTGAAAAACTCACTCGTGTATGTCATATGCGCCCTGGTCATATCCATATTGCACTCGATTGTCTAACCATGTTATCATCTATACTAATTACCACTATTTTTTGCTACAAAATTGCGTGCCCGATGGTGCAAGGCTTACTGCTCTTATTTTCGAAGAAGTAAATTCTCTTTCCATCAACTTGCGCTTCGTACCGAATTGGACGAGCGGATTTATGCTCACGCTGACGCCATTCTCGGGCAGAGGCGTCTGCCCCGCATCGTGCTTTTCGTTATTCACATTGACCGGTTCTTCGCAGGAATAATAACACGAACCATTTCCCTCGGTTTTTATCTCTAAATTTGTCTCAAGAACCCCTTCGATGCCATTGGTTCCAGTAGAGTTTTGGTCAACCCCTGTATTCTCGTTTCCAGACATACGCTCTGATCCCTCAAAGTGATGCACCGGCAATCGCTGCTGTTCGTCGACTCGTCGGACCTGCTCGTCGATAAATCGGAACTGCCAATTCCATTTGACATTGTACAAGAAAGGTCGAAGGTCGAACCTAAATGCAAAGAAGCATACTTTAAATAAAGTTTAAAAAAAAAATAATAAATCCAGCTGGAGCAAAAGATCGTAGGTGATACCTTAAGTCACCCAAATATAGTTTAAGACATTAAACAACTTCAATTGGACAAGTATCTATCCCCCTCTATACCAATTTGTATCCCAATTTTATCCCATTTACCACCTTTATCAATCAATTTTCCTATGCCAACCCAACCTTAAAAAGCACCCATTACGGAAAGTGTGTGGCAATTATATATACCACCCACGCTACCCTAAACTTTATTACATTCTAACCAACCTTATCCCACCTATATCCTTCACTCACCTGTTGTCATCGGGAGAATAGGACTCAGCATGGTATGACGGAGTAAGCACTGTCATTTTGTGCCTGTTAATAGCATAGCACCTGAAGAAATGCTTTACCTTGTGGGCAATGAGCGAGGGTGGGTGGGTATCTCGCCAAAGGTCGCATAATTTGCAGAACATACGAAACGGTCCGCAGGCTTCGACCTTGCGAAGACGTCCAAATATTGAGAGCTCGTCGTAAGTCATACCCATATCCTCCTAAATAGTGATAAAAATGCATGTTCATTGGGTAGAGATGACAGATTTAGTGTGCCGTCCAAAAGTACATCTATTTAATACTGACTACACGGTCAAGCAACGGTGAAGAACATATGAGCCGAAAAACTGAGAAACGAGCAAAATTTAGGTGCCTGATTTTTTATCTGTCCGCGCCTCAACTTTGCTTAAGGTTCAATAATCAATCGCCTGCATGCTATTGGTTCAAGGTCTAAACACCGTCTCCAAAGCACGGGGAAAGATGTCCCTGATCCCTTCACGACGGTCATACTAATATACTAATAAAGGTCATACTAATATACTAATAAAGGTCATACTGATGTACTAATAAAGATTTCAGGCTGCATGAAAATTGTACTAAAACTGGATGAAAACGTCTTATAGTCACCTCATCTGTTTGTTGTGTGACGCCGTTTCTTAAAGGTTCCAACTCTGCCGTTGGTTCTGCACCCATGATGGTGATGAGGGAACTAAAGTTAAATTTCTCAACACAATAAAATACGAATGACTTGAGGTCCCTCTTACTGATACCACCGATTGGATTTATATCCGCACTGGAGCAATCGTATTTTGTCATATACCCACGAAGACTGAAAAATAAAATAAAATAAAATAAATATTTCACTTGTAGGTAGACGGTTGATACCATGCATGCAGATTCATAAAAATGGGCAAAGTTACTCAAATAATTGCTTCAAAGCGGCTGACTGTGTTTGAAGGCACATATTAAGTTAAAAAGTCTACGATTTAAAGTTCACACATTTTGCGTAAGGTTATATTAAGGACGAGTTCCTGCGTTTTCAATTAATTCCTTCGACCTTCAGCGTTTCTACCTTTCGTCGGTATTTGCGGAACCAAGTACCAGAAGTCCAGCATTTTTTCCACGCACCCACATGATTAGATGAGCAAACAGGTAAGCCAAGACCATTCTGATTCGAGCTTGGATATTTTGTAGTGCGAGGTTCTCTCTGTCTGTGCCGCCGTTTGCTTTAAACTGAGGAAGCTTGCCTGTGATTGTTGTAAACACGGCAAGAAACGCACTCACTATTGTGTCAATCTTGATGTCTGAATAAAAAACCCCCCAATTAAAAAATTCAAAAATCAATGGGTTCCAACCGGGGGAATTTTCATATCAAAATTTTTGCTTGATTTTCTTTTCATGATTGTCAAACGAATCCGTTGCAGTCGAATTGCTTTTGTTGCTGGGTTTTTTTTGTCGTTTTGGCTGATGCTAATGTTGTGCCGGTTTGTGACTTAATATTGTTGTTGCTACTGTAATGCTGGGATGGGTAATTGTAGATGTTATGGTTCATTTGCTGTTTTTCCTGCTGTCGATACTGCTCGTTTTACTTTCTGTATTGTTGCGATTTTTGTGGTTGTTTTTGTCACTGTCATTATTACTTTTGCCGCTGGTATTACTGTTATTGTTATACTTTTTGTCAATAAAGTTATTGCTGTTGTTCGGTCAATAAGGTTAAATTACTGTTGATGTCACTGCTGCATGTCACTGCATAGGTATTGTATTAGTTGCCGTTGTTGTATATCTATAATGGTTTCAAGACATTTGCCATAGCTGTTATGGTCCTTTCTCCCGTCGTTTAAATCTTACCCATGTGATAGCTACCCACATCGTGTGCCAAATTTTTCGCACGTGAACGAGTCTCCTCAGATGAATTTTCACTTCCCATATAACACGTGACAAAGATACGATTGGCGAGTTCCTTGGGGTCCACTGGGATGTATTCTCTGCAATGAAATATATTGATTACTTTTAGTTCATTTTTACTGTACCCAAATCGCTGAATGACCTACAGCGTCTGATATAGAATGTGCTTTTTTAACAAATTACTGTCGGGGTTTCGCTAGTGTAGGCCTGCTTATTATTTCAAGGTTGTCAACGTGCATTATCGCAGAAAATAGTTCCAATAATTAGTTTACCTATCCCCTACTATCCTCCTGACATCCTCCAAGACCTGCTTATCTCCGCTTTTGACCGCTCTACAGACGAGATGAGACATGGAAGCGACGAGACATGCCACAGATGAACTGTCTATGCCTGCAGGAGTGGATTTAACATGGAATTGTTCAGTTACGGCGTTTTCATATAATATTTTAATAAACGGTCAGTGGTCAAAATCTCTCAATTTCATTTAAAGTTGTTTATCATTTTATTTTAGGAAAATTTAGGAAATATTTTGAAAGGCCATTCACATTATAAGTGCTTGCTTTTTAGCGTATAAATCTATGAAAACTGATACAGAATATACTGCGTTGCATGTATGCATACTATAAAATATATAAAATATTTAACGCCGGTCTCTCATATCATGGTCTGTTTATACGATGGCACCTTAAATCTGTCAACTACGGTCCTAGCATTAAGTAGCAAGTATTGTATTTACCAAAACATCGCCATGTTCCACTTGCATTTCCTTATTTTGTCGTTAGTAATATTTACTTATTACCTAATATCAAATCTTACCTCCACTCAGAGGTAGAAAGAATCCTGACATCCCGCTTCGTCTAAGATAGTCCCACAACCAGCATGCAGGACCAAGGCTGATCTCCTCCTCCGGCGTCATATCGTCCAAAGCCACAGGCTTATTTGCCGGTAGAAGCGGGTTGTCACTACAAAAGTACTGATCTAAAAATATTCTGGGGTATTTGTTGTCGGACTTTGATCCCAGTTGCTGTAGGCAATTAGCACCACCTGTGATTGAATTAAGGGAGACAAAGTAAAGTATTGAGGCTACATAATAATTGTTTAAGTTTTCTTTATGTCGAACCTCCGGGGTAACAACCGTCTAAAATTATTTTTTACGGTAGGGTACAGCTCATAATGTGAATAAACACTTTGCTTACATTTTAAATAATTATACAGTACTTCTTGTAACAATATCAAAAACAGTAAGAATGTTAAACACTACCATTTTGGTTCGTTCTAGTTCTAAATGAATATAAACAGGTGTTTACGTTCAGAAAAAAATTCACCAATTTTAAATTAAGTATAAGCCATGTAGGCCACTGTAAAATATGAATAGCAAAATAATAGCACTTGGTAGCTATTGGTCTATTCGAAAGGTATTCGTAAATGGCGAACTTGCTGAAAGATTTTTTTAATTGATTAATTGATTAGGTATTGATTAATTGATTGACTAATTTTAATGGTAAAATTCACTATTTTAAAATTGTCAGTGTGAACAAATATCACCAATCATTTTTATCATTCTAATAAAGCTGTTCAATAAGAGAAATTTGGTTTATAGAGTGCAATTCTACATTTTAGAACGGTTTTTAGTCAAAGATAAAGCATTCACCTCTGTATGTTGTGACATCATTTAGATCAACAGTAGCAGTAACCACCTCTACATCTTGCAGCGAGAAGTTCTTGCCTTGTGCCACAATTTCTCCGTTTACAGCAATCAGTGAACATCCATCGAAGTACACACGGCCACCATCACATCCTCTCACGTTTGCATACATATACACACCACCTGACTGAGGAAATGTAAAAAACACAAATGAAAAACATACGACAGTAAATACAGGGTATTAATTTGCTTTAAAGATCGATGAGCAACGTTTTTAGCTTCGGTTATTGTCATAAACGTTGGATTTGCTCAGTCTATTTATGTGCGAGCATTGATTCTACTATTTTACTATGAGAAGGTTGTGTAAATTAAAAACTTTCATTAACTACAAGGGCAGGTTGTTCAAAAAACCGGTTAGCTTAACCCTTACATTAATTTTTTTACTCGTTTGGTTACAGTTGAATATCTTTTTTCAGGAATATTCTCTGGACCGATAGAAGTAATATTATCTAAAGTTTTAAAACGAACAGTGGTTCAGAATCACATAAACTACAACACTCGATTAACATTTAACCATGCAGGGTTAGCGCTAACCTAGCTTTGAACAACCGGCCCAAAAAGCTCATAATTCTGGGCTATATCGTTAAAATAAAGTAGCCCAACCTTTTATATACAACGAAATCGAAATATATTGCAGAATTCGTCTTGAAATAAAACTTTCTAAAGTTTAACATGAACTGTCAAACTGAAATAGCGAAGTGTCTAAATATGATAGAAATGCAAACCTTTTTTGTTGCATTTTTTATCAGGTCAATTTTCCTTTGAAGCTTTCGAAGTTCATGATAACTACCACTTGAATTCGTGAATATTTCAACACCATCCAGGCCCATGTGTATGCTGGGAGCGTTGGAGGTGAACATCTCCTCGCACATCTCTGTTCCAAATGTCGTGTCGCTTGTCGAGATCACTGCATCGCCAAATGGAACTGTCGTTTGTCCTGTAATGTCCGTGATTACCTTGGGCAACATGAATTCTTCTGTTTGTCTGGTCTGATGAGGAGGAAAAAAAAGATTTCTCAGCTTGTATTAGTGCCTAGCTCTCTAAGAGTTCAAAGGGGGAACTTTTCCCGAGGCCCACGATCAAGAGGTGTGAAAACAAAACGATGGAGCCCCGATACCATATTTTACAATGCAGAATCATCAAAAAATGTACTGAATAGCAATTTACAAAACAATGCACAACTCGATCAATTGTTAAGAATGTGGTAACTGTTTAAGATCCTAAAATCGACGTATTAAATGTATATAACAGGCTGGTGTATGTATGGGGAGAGTAATCAGAAGCGTACAATCGATTAGTTAGAAGGGCCAGGGGAGTCTGGCGTCATCAACGTTTGGCGCCGCGAACTGGAAAATTTTGAATTTGCAGCCTCTAGATTACCAGGAAAGAAAAATATCTAAAAAACTACAGTAAATATAGCACGCTTCTAATATATACCTACGGAATATTCTCCTTCTTTCGAAATAAAATTACTTACGTTATTCGTATACAAATAAATACGTATAAATCCCGTATTCCCGTTATTCGTTGTACCTATATACCTTAAACATAAAACTTAATTCGGGCAACTCGCTTGATGAAGATGTACTTATCTCAAGTTATCTGCAAGCTGTGTATTTATATACTGATATAATTATATTACATTGCTCTCGCCAGTCGCCACTGAGTTATGGAGTGCATGCATGCAGCGGCATGCACCGCAGAAATGAGTGTTTATGAAGTTTCAACCCGTAAATCAAATCACAGTGGTTAATCACAATTGTGCATTTCTGTAAAGCATTACAGATACACATCTGACAGCTGTGAAATGGTCATTTTGATCCGGCTTATAATATTCACAAGGTTATTAATTCGGACAATTCGTTTTTGACGTGTGCAAGCTTCAAATCTTCAGTGCAAGATTGTTGAGAATTGAGCATCTATAAATCTTTTTGCTCACCAAATTTGAAGTCTAAGAATTAAGAATTTTGTGCTGTCAGGGCGAACGCATATAAATTGTATGGTGCTTTAGTTGTAGGTCAGTGCCAGTAGTTGCTAATGAATCGTAGCTAGAACCCGCGCGGTAATGAACCTATGTTCAGTTTCCAACATAAACCAGGTTTAAAATTCATGCAATTACCTTTTGCCACTGCGAAAACCACCTCAGTTCCCTGTAATTCCCATCATTTGCCATGACCATTTTGGGTCTGATCAGCAAAATCTTTCGATTATAGAAGATGACCCTGCAATTGTACCGAACACTTTTGTGTTGTATTGGCATTCCTATGTCGCAAACAATATCCTGGGCAACCGGTGATTTTAAAATGCATGCCAAAACTTGAAAGGAGTGAAGAAATGTGTCATCTTCAAGAAAATGGTCTTCACATCCATAGCCTGAAATGAAACATTGTACCTAGATAATTAAACTCTGACTAAGTGGTGCCAGAGAAAAATAGATTTTTCATTATGTGATTTCACAATTGGTCTGGACGAAAATGAACTGCAATTTTAAAGGGGTCCCGGACTGATGGGGATGGCTTGCTGCCCAAACTGTCCTTTGCTACCCTCCGTGGCATACACAGCTATACATCACTTGTTTGGATATTAGGAAAAAGAGTCATTAAAAAACATAATTTAAACATCAATACTAGAGGTCTGGAGGCTGTAACCACCTATAGCTATTATGCAAGCAGAACATGCAGCTATCAGCAGAGCCCAATCTATATTACTGCATGTTGACTTGACCAATTAGAAAGGTACTGTACTTGCATTGAGTATCAATTTTCGATATTAATTATTTATTTTTATTATTAAGTAATTGTGTGAAGATGTTGGAAATCTAAAGAGCTGACAGCTGTGGTTTCCAAGAACCTGGGCGTGCAAAGAAAGAAGAACCCTTCTGTTTTCCAGGAATCCATAATGCACATTAAGTAGTCTGCGCAATTCGCAAAAACTGACCATGTTGAGAGGTTACGTTATAAAAACATCTATATATATATATATATATATCTATATGGCCAAACGTGACCAGTGTGCATGCAATAGTACATGCAATTGGCAGTAATACATTGATATTACAATCAATGCTGACATTTTGTATTGCACTTTAAAATTTGAAATTATCACCGTGTTTTAGCAATGCAACAAAACTGTACAAACGAACTGCTTAATTACTATATGACTGTATTGAATTTGATATTTGCGACTTCATTGTAGTCGGTAATAAAAGAAGTGGATGACTCCAATAACTGTTAAACCACTTAAAGTTGTTTATCGTCTGCTATCCTAGGTTGTGCCTGGTATACGCTCTGTAAAAGACTAAAAGTGAAAGCAAACAAATCAATCCTCCTACCTGAAACTTCCAACTCAGGTCCAAGTCTGTAGCAAGCACCTTTTGTCTTTGCTTCGCTAATGCTTTGCAGAATTCGTTTTAAATTCCCTTCAAAGTCCAAAGCCCACTGGTTCAACGAACAAACAGCTAAAGTAATCTTTCGACAGGCCATACTGCTCATACGTAGCGAGATGTTTGCCTTTATAACTTTCTCTTTCGATTCAAGCTTGTTTTTATTTTTAAATTTAGTTACATTTTTCACTTTTAGTTTTACTGAAGATTCTCCCCCGTTTTTCAATCGAAGAAAACTTTTATACGGGGGGAAAAAACTATTTGCTTCCATTTCAATACCCCCGGGAAAATAACCTTAAACCTATTAAAAACCGGAGGGTTATATTGTTCTCATAAACCCGCTAACGCTGGCTGGCCTGGCTTGAGGGAGTGAACAGCAAACAGGAAGCCAGGACCGACGGCACGGTGTGTTTACACAATTTGGTCAGTTCAAAACCTTTGTAACTTCAAATCTATTCTGCCCAAAAAATGTGGAAAGCATCAGCAGGACATAACGTTCAGCTGGACAACGCCGACGATGATGACTGGGAGACAGATCCTGATTTTGTGGTGAGTTCATTCTGACTAATCTTTCGAAAGCGTTTAAGCATAAATGTATTTCCTTTATACTCTGTCAATGATTCTATGTTTGCATACATATTTTGATATTTTGGGCATACTTTTACCTTTCGGTATGTTAGAATAATACTCAGGCATAACTTGACTTTAATACGATCTTAAATGGCATGTTAAGAAAAGTTTGCTTAAGTAATAAATTAAAGGTTTATGAGATGATTTAGTTTGTTCTCAGTTTCACAATATATTAAATGTGGAAGTACCTAAACCTTATTGTTTATGCTGTATTCCGTATTAGGGTCCGTCTATTTCCGGTTCAAGAACAATTAAAATTGAGATATTTTGGCTTCGTATTCTTGCAAAAGAGTGATATCTAGAAATTTATTTACTGAATACATAGTCATGTTTTGTGGTATTTCGAGATTTGCTTTGATAAAATTGAGTATTGGACTATATACATATCCTAGTCTTATTCCATACTCAAAAATTCCACGCAAAAAATCTTGAGACCATGCAAGCAATATTTCACCCTGAAATAAAAATATTTAGTTTGATTGTCTATTTTCTCGTCGTACATGCTTGTCTTTCAGAGCATCCTTTCCATCATATGCATAATACATATATATGTACATGCATAAATTTGCAGTTGATTATACTGGTTGACTTCAAGACTGCAGTACCAAATTGAAATAATTAAATTGCCCAACAAATTCTTGTTAATTCTTGTTGAGAGTAGTAATGGTAGAAGAGGGAGACTCTGGAAGTGTCTGTGTCCTATATGTAAACCACATTTGATCTTGTACACTGCTTGAATACAAAGGCTATGTTTTTAGTGGATAGCTATTGAGTCACACAGGTCCAGTGTTAATAAATCTTCTGTCGATTACACTTTTTCTTATTACAATTCAGATTATAAAAACCCCGAATGCATTCAGTCACCCACTTTAACAGCCTTGATGTTTTATATTTTTTATAGAATGATGTATCAGAAAAGGAACAACGTTGGGGAGCAAAAACTGTTGAGGGTTCTGGTCATGTGGAATCAATAAAGTATGTATTGTTAATTGTAACATTCATTGGACACACCTATATGTATTTGATGCTATGGCAAATTGCAAAGCGATTGGCTCACATTTGTTTGTGAGTGGCACCCAATCACAGACCCAATAACAACTTATTAGCATGATTTTTATTGAAGTATACACTCTAACAATTAAGTGCATGATTCATATATATACATATTTAAGGGAAATTTTACAGTGTCCATTAGGTGTTGAGGTTTTAGATTTTTTGTTGGTAAATTTTGCTTTCTATTTAGCATTAAAGACCTTCGAAAGGATGTTGCACATGATCATCAAAAAATAAAAAAGGGTATAATTATCATCACACTTAATAAAAGTACCACTGTTTGTTAAGAGTTCTTGTTGCTTGCAATGATCAATCAATGGAACTACTATGGTAATTTATGGTGAATATAATTTTTTGTAGATGAGGCCTCCAAAGGGTATCCTAAACTAATAACATCATGATGCACATATATAAGGTACATGTAGCTGTAATGAGATTCTATTACAAATTTGTTTCCCTAAACCAGATGTGCCCTATTACTTGGGTATCATATTAGGCAGTTTTGTGATGGAAAAGATTCCATTTACCCTAAACACTGATTCACTGAAAGGGATTATATATCAGTACCAACTGCAGTATGTGCAGGTAGCGGCAGTTAGGAGGTGTTTGTACTGAAGCACATAATTATTACACATAGTAATAGTTGATATTAAACAACTATAATACAACAGAAGAATTTAGTTGAAAATATTAAGGTTTAAAACTTAACAAAAAATAAGACCAAAATCATCATATGGCTATGGTGGACAATTTGGTGTTGAGAAGGACCGAATGGACAAGGTATGTACATGTGTTATAACTTCGTTTCATATTCATCTCACTCTCCAGAAAATGGAATGGTCATGTTGACAGAAAACTTTCACAATTTTTCCCTTTTTTAAGGACAAAGAGATATTCTTCGCACTACAGCTTAACTACAGCTTAATGTGTTTTTGTATTCATAGTCTGCTGTAGGCCATGAACATGTTGAAGATCTATCAAAGCATAGCTCACAAGTTGATGCTGCAAAGGGATTTGGTGGAAAGTTTGGCGTGCAGAAAGATCGTGTTGATAAGGTTTGGTGAAATGTTTTTATTGTAGGGTTTTTTTGTCCTCATTTTCACTGAGTTTATGCTCTATGTATTTTTAACCTAATATATCATTTTTAATATCCTCAAAAATCAACTCTTCTAGCTGCATGCTTTTTATATGAAAAGTATTAACCTTTTTACTAATTGTAAAAGGCTTGGATATATTTCCGTTTATAACAAGCAATGCAGGGGAAGGCTTAAAACTGCGAGTTACAAATGAAAAACGTGGTTAACTCGTGTTTCGAAACAAAGAAGTCAAATCTCTCGGCGGTAGTATAGACAGCTGCCCGTCTTGCCTTTTATCAGGGGGACTGAGAGCAAAGGATTATTTTCAATAAGATAATATATTTGCTAACGTGCCCATTTGCTCCCCCCTCTTGCTCCCCCCTCTTTCCTTCCCATCGTTCCAAAGTCCCCGCTCTGAAGATGCATTCAACCTCGTCCACAATGAACGGCATCCGAAGTTCAAACCACGATGAACTTGCCGCTGAATTGAATTTCCCAGTGTGATTACTTGCTGATGCTGTCAGTGAATATTTTTCTTTCGCCTAGCATTTTGTAATGTATTGATTTGTCATCTGTGTCGTACTATTTTCTTCAGTCTGCCGTAGGTTTTGATTACGAAGGCAAAACAGAAAAACACGTATCCCAAAAAGGTTGGTCAGGTGCTCTTTTCACTCTCAGTACCTTCTATGATAGACGGCCCAAATATGTGTGATAATTTGAACGCGGAAAATTTCTCGCGTTCAAATTATATCACACATATTTGGGCTGCCCATAGATGCTTCTATAAGACAAATATCAATTGCATCTTTACTAAAGAACGTCCGCCCAACACAGCCTGGTCCGTCATAGGCTAAGCTGTTGATAACCCCATGCATGCAGACTCGTCACTGCAAATTCTTTGGCTAGAGAAAGTTATAGATAAATATGATACATATATAATTCTGTGTCATATTTCTCCAGATTATTCGCGTGGTTTTGGTGGCAAATACGGTGTGCAAAAAGATAGAGTGGATAAAGTAAGTTTACTGCATGGGGACCATAGAGTCCGTGTATGTAATAGCTCAATTAATTTTTGTACACTTTCACGCGTTTAAAATACTATAGTACCATTTCTGTGTATTCTTCTATTGTATAATCAGGATTTCAGATGATAAACTTTATGTGGCAATTAAACAATTAAATAATCTTCATTAAACAATTAAGAATCATTGATAGCTTATACTGGCCTTCTCAACCGAATGTTTACTATCTTTTTACGATTTGTTTTGCTCTAAATGTGTTATGTTTACTAACTTCTCCATCCTTTTCCCCTCATACTGTAGTCTGCTGAAGGATGGGAATACCAGGCAGAATTGGAAAAACATGAATCACAAAAAGGTACTTGAAGCAAAAGAACTTGTCTGATGGCGAGCTCCATGCAGTCAAACAATACGGCCGGTCATTTGTCGGGTTAGATGACAATCAAATATACTTCTGCATAACGTACAACACGGCGAAAAATCGTCTTATTTAAACCGAGACAATGGATTATTCGCCCTTGATTTCAATTTTCAATGTTGTAATGATTTGGAGTTATAATGGACTATCTCTCGTAGAAATAATAAGTTGTTAAATATAGATCCCGAACTTTTTACAATTCTAAATAATGTCATTTGAATAAGATTAACCTAAATGCATTATATTTACGGTACATTTTGAGACGTATTATAATTCTAGTCTAATTTTAATTCCGACTTTCTATATGACATTTTGCAAAATACGGACTGGACTCGACTGGATTGGACCTGAAAAGAGCGGACTTGTAAATCTCGGACTTGTAAATAACGTACTCAGCCCCCTGATATAAAACGCGAACTTGTAGCTTTGGGAGTCTTGCCTTTGAGGAATTTTCTTTCAAAAGGGAAAATAGTGGAGAGATCTGAGGAAAATATTATTATTAGTCCGCTATTAACAAGTCCGCGTTTTTTATCACGGACTGAGTCATGCCTTTATGTTTTAAGATTTCTCTATTCCTAATGTTTAGATTATAGTAAAGGATTTGGTGGCAAATACGGCATTCAGAAAGATCGCGTTGATAAGGTGAGTCCAGTGTTTGTATATAGTGCCTCAAATATGAAGCTATCTACCAACCCTGATGTGAAGAGACTTGGAAATGTGAAAACAATGCCATACAGTTAAAATATTGAGGTCAACCCATCTTAAAGTCTTATGGCTTAAGCCCCGTTTACATTACACCCAATTGGTACCAGTGCCCATTATTTGTGTTCAGGCCACCAATACAAAGACTGAGCGCTGATGAAATTGGCACGGGTACCCATTTTAGCCGTGCCTTGCCAATACATTGAATGTAATGTAAAAAGGGTTTAAAGTATTTTCCTATGCTATAGTATTTTTTAATTAAAGCTACACGCATCATATATATGTTTATTCTCTCATCCTGCAGAGTGCTGAAGGTTGGGAATACGAAGGAAAGACGGAGATGCATGCGTCACAAAAAGGTAATAGCGATATTGTATATGGCTTGCATACAGCTTTAATTAATAGCTTTGATTTCATATACGGCTCAACATTTGGCGTTAAGTATTTCAGCTCATGACTCAGAAAAAGTAAAAAGCACTGGTTTCAATTTCCCCTCCTGAGTTATCGTTCCAGTTTGTTTACAGTTCGTGATTCGTGATTTCGCGCTCAATTTGTTGCAGATTATTCCACTGGATTCGGCGGGAAGTATGGAGTACAAACAGACAGAGTGGACAAAGTACGAGACTGACACGATTTACTTTTTATTCGGAAGATTCTATAATCCTTGCAAAGAAACAAAACATTATTTTTCGTATTTTTTTAGTCAGCAGAGGGCTACGAATACGAAGGAAAGACAGAGCAACATGCTTCACAAAAAGGTCACATCTCAGTAAAGCTAGACAAAAAGATAACTTCTACGTTATGTCTTTAGCTGCTATATGCTTGCTTGTTGACATCAAATTTTGCATTATTTACTGCTTGGTTCGGCGTGTAAACGGGAATTCATCCAAAGTGTTAAAATTTCATCTCCCAACAATGCCATTTTTGTATCTCAGAAAATAATTTACCGATTGCAGATGTCAGAATACTGGGATTTCATGTGCGATTTTCTTCTTTAGATAGATGTGAACGAGTAATTAGTTACGAATGCTCTCATGTATAAGAACTCTTATTTGAACGTCAGTAACTAATTCGCTCGTTCACATCGCACATAAAATCGCAGTAAAAATTGCAAGTGTAAACAAGCCTTAGGGCTGGTTTATACAAACAGTTTGATACAAACTAATCCTCGATATATACATACCCGTTCCAGGATGTTATATGTTGTTGATTATAGAAGCCGCTTGTAAAAAATTCCTAACTACATGCTTTTGTAGTTATGTAAAACTGTTAACTCAAAAGTACACGATTGTTGAATCAGCCAAATATGTGGCGAACGGTATGGTTAGAAGTTAACATTTTCGTACAACCCATTTGCCTGATTTTCATGCATAAGGTGTTTTTGCAGATCATTCCGCTGGGTTTGGTGGAAAATTTGGCGTTCAGACTGACAGAGTAGATAAGGTATTGTATGAATAAATAAATTTATAAATGGTATATAATTCAATTTCATTACATCTTCTGTTTTGTTAATTTTACAGTCCGCCGGGACGTTTGATGACATGACGGAAGTGACGTCATCATACAAAACAGCGAAACCAGGGGCCAGTACAGGTAACATTGGTAACATTTCAGGATGATGAAAAACAATTTTTAATAATTATGTTTAAAATAGACTGAAATAGACTCAATTCACTCATATTTTCCAAACCATGCAGTTGTCTTCTGCACGGCTGAGAACACGGCGCTTTTCTTACCACAGGGGCAGCTGGTAATCTCAAAGCACGTTTTGAAAGCATGGCGAAAGCCGGAGAAGAGGTATGGGACATTGCAGCATGATTTTTTGGGGCAGAAAGACGTGGATCTTATTCGGGCAATACCCCTCAAAAATTCAAAATGGCAGTAAAATAGAAAGTGTAAACAGGCCTTAGGTCTCAAAGAAATGTGAGATTATTAATGTTTTTTTCATTTATTTTTTATGTAATTTCTAGGAGGATAGGAAGCGGGCTGAGGAAGAAAAGGCGCGTCGTTTGGCTCGAGAGAAGAGAGAACGCGAGGCGGCAGAGAGAAGACAAGCACAAGTAATGCTAGTTTTATTTTATTGTGATGAACGGTTCTGATGAACGAGATAGATCTATCGGTGTTATTTATTTCAGTGTTACTTCCGATATTAGCTATGCTACTGTTGTGAGAATATGTTTGCTTTTAAGCGACTGTTTTAATAGTTTATGCCACATAATGGTGCAAGCCATGCACCTAAGTATTAGTCTGAAAGCTTGGGATTCATTTAACCAGTTTTATCCTACGATATGTTCAATTAATTCTCATTCACAAGTTTTGTGAACCGAGCTACATCACCCCTCGAACTTTGTTGAAGTTAGGAATCATAAATCAAACGTTTTCCTACTCGGACGTACTAAATATCGCGTTCCAATCACTTCCAAGCTCGTGTACAGACGGACAAGTTTTTCTTGACAAGTTCGTGTCGTTGCTCATGTGTGGTATAGATGACCAATCATTTTCCAACTCAACCCGCATTTTAAAGTATTAAGGTGGCTCCCTACAATTTTTTAAAATATTGAAAACTTGTGGTTTTGATTTAAAATTTTAGCACGAGATTTCTTGGTAAGGAAAAGAAATTTCCCAGATATATTAACCAACATTCTAAAAGTCAGAAATTGCCCATAAGCATGACGTCATTACCGTTGTTATGGTAACAATAGCTTTTCAATATGGCCGACATTTTACCTATTCACGCATTTTACTCGAAAACAAGTTCGGTTACCCCAATTTTTTATTTTATAAAAAGTTTTCTTACAAAAAAATGGAAAATATGAACCAGTTAAAAAAAATTCTATAGAGCCAAAATTATTAAAAATTAAAAAACGTGATTTTTCGTTATAGAAATTTTCTGGCTCTATAGAATTTTTTTAAACTTGCTCAAATTTCCCATTTTTTTGTAAGAAAACTTTTTATAAAATAAAAAATTGGGGTAACCGAACTTGTTTTCGAGTAAAATGGGTGAATAGGTAAAATGTCGGCCATATTGAATTGCCATTGTTACCATAACAACGGCGATGACGTCATGCTTATGGGCAATTTCTGACTGTTAGAATGTTGGTTAATATATCTGGGAAATTTCTTTTCCTTAGCAAGAAATCTCGTGCTAAAAATTTAAATCAAAACCACAAGTTTTCAATATTCTTAAAACTGTAACGAGCCACCTTAAAACAGTTTTTCAATACTTCATAGTAACTTCATCCAGGTGTTTCTGAAATAAGGAACAAAAAAACAGAATCAGAATTTTTACTTTGCAAGTGCACAGTGGTTCATTAGTAGCCTGTTGATTTTTAATGTTTGTTTAGGAGGCCGAACGCGAGAGGGCCGCTCAAGAAGCAGAGGCTGAACAAGAACGCGCGGAGGCAGAGAGGGCTGCTGAAGCTGAAGCGCGGTATCGCGAGGAACAGGAACGTGCTGAAGCTGAACGTGCTGAAGCTGAACGTGCTGAAGCAGAAAGTGCCGAAGCAGAACGTGCTGAAGCAGAACGTGCGGAAGCAGAACGTGCGGAAGCAGAACGTGCGGAACAAGAGCGTGCCGAGGCAGAACGTGCGGAACTAGAGCGTGCAGAGGCAGAACGTGCGGAACAAGAGCGTGCTGAGGCAGAAGCTGATTATGACCAGCCGGAAGCAGGATATGATGAACCAGAAGATGATCATGTTTATGGCAATGTTGCTGATGAAGCGTCTCAAGAAGTACGTATGAGCATGCGTGAGTTACACATGATGACGTCTCTAGCAACCAATCAAGTCCTAAAATACCGTGCAATATGTAACTGCATGTTCGTTGAATTAAGGTTGTCCCGCCAAAACAATATATTTAGGGATGATGGGTTATTGCTCATTTAGAATATTAAGTAAAGAAATTATTCTACTAGAAATTAAGCCTTAGCTTTAAGAATACCGAAGACATTAGGCATGACTCAACGACAGATAGTGTACTTGTTTTGAAGCCAATTTCTGACTTGAATAGGACACAATATTGATTACAACCATAATTCCTTCGCGCTCAGAGTTCTGTATTTCAAAAAGTGAATTTTTTGTTTTTGAGACGTTTTTCAGTTCTTACAGAAAAGTTAAAAATCATTTCTTCAACTACTTGTCATATTACAGGGCACTGGCCAAACCGCAGTTGCTCTATACGACTATCAAGCAGGTTAGTAAAAATGAAACTTCATTGTTGGGCATAAATAAGTATAAATTTTCATCCAGCGGCAAAGTAAAAGTAACAAAAGAGTATTCTGGATGGACAAATAATCAGGTCACGAGAATAAATATTAGTTTACGGATTCACCTTTGGTGGTGTATCGGCGAACTACTGTTGTAATCCCATGTACCATCGTTTGGATTGGCTTTATAGTGATCTTGCCATGAAAATTCTTTAAACATTGCGCGTAGTTTGATTCTCGTATTCTTCTGATAAATTATTCCATAGCATTTGATTGCTGGTGATTTTGAAATGTTCGTAGCAAAGTTCCAAAAAATATTTTGAGACTTATCGTTCGATCTACGATGATAAGTATATTTAGTGAGGCTATGTGCACAAGAGCGTCGTTTTCAAGCGTTTCAAAATGGTTTTTATCTAGTCTAACGCCTTGTCCACACGATCCAAGAAGAAATATGCTCATTACTCCGGCGTCAGCGACGGAGTTGAAAATTCGCCCTGGTTTTGTATTGTTGTTGTTGTTTTTATTTTTTTTTATTTTTCGTCGTCGCAAGTCTGAATGGCGCGAAACATTGTAGTATTTAAAATGTGTATGTAACCGTATTTATATACGTCCCAGTCTTATCTGCTAAGAGTTGTGGTGCACAGCTTCGATTTCGCTCGCATGATACGGCAATTCCTCCAAGAGCAACAAATAAACCGTTCTTTTCACGCTTTTCGACTAAGTTTAGATTGAATTGGGGTAAGAATATATTTAATACATGTAGATTTTGGTCCTATTTTAATAATATCGCTGCTATTTCGCCGTTTGACAAGATGATGTGGTCGTGTATGGGCGCGTTGAACGTCGTAGTTTGCACAGGATGTCAGGATTGAACATTTAATATAACTATATAAGCGCGAATTCCAAAAGGCAAAGTGTAAGACAAAGCGAATATATCATGCGGTTTATTTACATTTTTGAACAATTGAACTTCTATACTTTTTAAAGTACAATGTCCTTTTGAATTTCGCGATCAAACATTTAGGTTCGCAAGGCATCTAAATGCGAATATGAACTGTATTGTTTATGTTCAGAAGCTCTATATTGAAGACTGGCACGTGCGCCGGAGTTAACGCCAGAACAGGCGTCTTGTTATTTTTAAATTAGCTTCAACTTCTATTCAGGGGCGCACATTAACAAAAATATTGGGGCGGTTTCTGTGTTGAGGGACCGACTTTTGGAAAGCGTTCGTGCTCCTAGTGTACATGGGCTAAAACGATCATCTTGGAAACGTATTTCCCATAATTTCGTACGAGCGTATTGCGATTCGTTTAATTTTTTTAACTTTTTTTTTCAATAGCCGATGATGACGAGTTGACATTCGACCCAGACGAAATCATTACGGATATCGAACAAATCGACGACGGATGGTGGCGTGGCTCGTGTCGTGGAAGAACTGGCATTTTCCCCGCCAATTATGTCCAATTGCAATAAAAATTTCGACAGCCATACGCCGAACATATTGAACCATAATTCTCGCACATTATTATACGCAAAAATAATTACAGTTAAGAAAAATTTCAATTGCTACATCGCTTTTGGCTGCCGTATAATTAATATTTCTTGTAAACAATATATTTTTTCAACGTATTTTTCGTTACATTTGTATGGTGACTGCCAGTCGATTCATATTTTTTAGAGAACTCACGCACGTGACTTGTTAAAACAACTATATGTATGTCACGTGGAAAGCAGTCATTTGGTAGATTTCAACGTGATATATTTTTTATAAGTAGTAGCAAAATTTCCTCCAGTAATTAGTCATTTATATAGGGACTTAATAAACTGTAATTTTATTACTTGGGGACAATTATTAAATAAAATTATGCATGATCATAACAAGTTTGGGCGTCTGGGGAACGTTGTGTTCGTGCTCATGGTGTGTTATGTTATCATTTGATCTAAAGATACAAACTTAGCATCCCTTTTTCAAATTAAATAGACTTGCTCTTCCAGGAAAATATTATAAACTGTAAAGTCTCTATGAAAGTGAACGTTCTTTGAGAGTTCTATTCCCACATTCAGTCCGGTCTATTCAGTCTATTCCATCCATGTTGCGCAAGGTTTAATTTACCTACCAGAGGCAAATTATACGCCGGGAAGTCAAGTTCAACAGGTAAAAGTCGTTGGCCATATTTCGCCAAATTCCGTTTGATTGTGATTTACAGTTCGGTTTTAGCTGGATTTGTAAACATTTTAATGCAATCAGTCCACTTACTGGGCACGCGCTACGAGACGGCCGACCCGAAGAACTGAGTTTGCCCCAATAAAGAAAACCTCGCCTATTATATGACCACGACATTTATTACACCATGCACTAAGACCATAAAACCATATGCCAGGAATATAGCCAACTTTATAATGATGCTTGCAAAGCATTCTGGTCGAAATTAAATAATATCGCAACGGGTAATGATCAAATATTTCACTTCTATTTAGCGCGTTTAATTGCAGATGGCTTCATAAAAAGCTCAAGGCCGATAGAAAATAGTCGCTTCGCGTGCAACAAGAAACTACATTGATTTTGTTCAAAGCGATCGCTATTTTTGGAATTAGTTATATAAAACTCTTAAATTTTGTCGCTAACTATATTTAGTATTTTTGCACTAGCGAATATAGCAAATCCTACATTCTGATTGGTCAAATCTGACGTATTATGCTGTTATATTCACCTTCAGGTGAATATAACAAATTTCAAAATGGCGGGTAGCCGTTTTGTGGACGTTTCTTACAAAGAGATAAGCAAACAAATGCAGTTCTTGTGTCAATTCACTTAGGCTCGGTGATTATCGAGGATTGTTATACAGGTGCTGTGTATTTAAAATGTGATTGGTTCATTCGTAGTCACATGACTTTAAATAAATGGAATGTTTCCCGCCAGGGAAACAAGTGATAAATTGTTGCCCGCTTCTTGTCATAACAACGTAAAGTGGGCTTTTTGGAAATAAAATTGTTGTGTAACATGTATGTTTTTGTTCCTAGTAGGAACATCGCAACAAAATAAATTTAAAATTCAACACCATCTAGGAACTTCCTACATAACAAAACACTTAATTAATGTACACTAGTTACCTTGGGAAATAGCGAGTTTTGTTTTCCCTCGAGTCTCAATGTTTCAGACCCTTGGGAAGCAAAACTCACTATTTCCCTCGGGAGCATACATTACGTGTATAATATTCACCTCGACTTCGTCTCGGTGAACACTTTCCGATAATCGCTTGCGCCCATCTCGTAATAGGCAATATTATGATCAAGATCAATCTCGCGATAATAATTTTACCAAAGCTGGAAACAACATCAAAAAATTAAATTAGTAAAATTTCATTTAGTTATAAAGTTAGTAAAGTTAATAAAATTTGTCAAGTTTCACAAAATTTGCAAACTTCGAGTTATATAGTTTTTTCAAACAAAACATACGAATTTTATTAATTTTGTCAAATTTTGTCATGCTGTTTCCAGCTGTGGTAAAATTCTTGTGGAAATTTAGATGAATCACGATGTTTGTTTAATACGCAATGGGACCACGTCGAACATATGTTGTAAAGCAATAAAAATTCATAAATAACTTCAAATCTGTCCTGCAACTAGTCTGGATACAGTGGATCCTTCCAGTCATAATACTGAAAGAATATTAATATATATTTACCTACATAACTATATACATCACTGACGGTTTCACTGCGATTGTTGTTGATCAGTGCTCTGCGATAGTTCAGTGTCCGTTGCCTGGTTTGGCTGTGTCGGTTGAGCGGACTGGGTTTGTTGAGCCTGCTGTTGTGTTTGGTCAGGGGCAGGAGCTGCAATAAAGACTGGTTGTGTTCCACCTTGTCCTGCGGCCGTTTGGATCTGGAAAAGCTAAAGGATGCAAAATACAAAAATGAATATAATGTCACATGATAGTAATTTCAACAATATAGAAAGACTTGTACTGTACATCCAAAAATGCAGGGTTTTTGATTTGCCGTCTTTCAATGAAAATAGAGACCTTTAGCTTGACGTTAACGACAACCCTCTAACGGCAAACAGAAAAATTCATTTTGAATTTTCAAAACAAATGCTAGGTTTCTGAGGCCGAGAAAATCGGTGCATTAATTTCACACATAAAGTAACTTCTGAGAAAGTGCCAAAAATCTAATTTTAAATGTTATTTGAAATTAGCCGTTTGCTGTTCGCAGTTTGTCATATTGGTTAAGCCAAAGGTCTCTGATGCATGTTTTTTAATTTCTGTTTCTTGTGCAATAGGAAGTGTCATTGTACTTTATGACATTTCCACTATAATGAAGCTACACCCTGATGAATGGGTAAACCATATCTGTTGAAGTCAGTTTTATTTCTGTTGAAGTCACACAAAACGCTACAGAGCCGAAGTGGATACGACGTGCCAGTTCAGATTCTTACCTGACCGCCAAACTGTGTATACTCTGTGTGTTGTTGGGAAGGAACTGTATTTTGTGCAAGATTTTGTCCGACATTCTGTGCGTTGGCTGCTGCTTGCTGAACATCCTGACCCGCTACTTGCACTTGCTGTTGACCAACTTGTGCTTGTTGTGTTTGAGTATTTGGTTGCTGTTGCACCTGAGCAACTTGCGGTTGAGACGTTACGATACCTTGCACTTGAACTGTTGTCGCTTGTTGCTGCGTTTGTTGCGCGGGTTGTTGCCCTTGTTGCTGCGTCTGTTGCTGTTGTTGCAGCTGCATTTGCTGCATGCGGTTCAGGTACTGCATCGAATTCGCAAAAGGAAGCTGATGAAGAGCAACACATTTCATTAGGAGTAAAGATAAAATACATAGGGCTGTCAGGCAACAGGGAACTCGCAGCACTGTTGCCCAGACGTACGTGTGTCCAGTAGGGGCAATTCAGTTATATAATTCGACAGAAGACCGAGATGTCTGACAATAGACCAGCAAACCTGGAGGAAATCGGATCTGCATCTTTGCAGCTGGTTTAGTAACGATTAACCCCAAATTACTAGCATTTGCGTTTAAGTATGAAACGTGAACGATTTCACGAGTTTGTTTACGTTTTAAACATTAGGAATTTTGGATTACTTGATTAAGTTCAAATTAAGAAGTTTACGCATTTTAACCTTGAACAATGATGGATAAAAAATATGCAGAACCGTCTCGAAACGAAGCCTGTCGATGCTTTAGAACCAAAGACTTTGAAACAAAGGAATCGATCGATATGAGGCATGAAATGTGCATGTTTCAAACGTTTTGTTTAGCCTGAGTAAACGTTTTTACAGCATGCTTTTTGTTTATTATTCATAGTTGCAATGTGCGAACTTTTCTGTTTAAACGTGAACAATTGAATTACAATACACTACATTTAAAACGTAAACTAATCCGTAAAAATAATTCACGCTTCATACTTAAACGCAAATGGTAATATTAGATGTTAAAAAAATGAACACTCACTTGATACGTAATTTCACTTTGCTCGTGTGGTTGTGTTTGTATTAGTTGGGGCTGAGCCTGAAACAGAACGATTTAAAAATTAAACTAGGGAAAGTATAGACATAGGTAAAGGCTAGGGTGTTTATTAAAGAACGTAAAATTTACGTGTAACTCTATTCTGAATCTTGGGAGGCCCAATCAAAATTTAGCGCACAAGTCTTTTTTGACTGCAGATAGCCACTATTCACCGCAATTGTAATCATGATACAGAATTAACTTCTACAATTTACATTCTGTATTGGGTTTCAAAAAACCCAGGGCATTTCATATACAAGGGCAGAAGGAAATTTGAAGCGCGACCTCTATGAAATTAATTTACCGCTGCTCTATAAAGATGATTAAATTTTAGCGTAAGCTGGACTATCGAGTTGGGCCTAAGTCTGGTTGCTCAGGATTGGATAGTAAAAAAAGCTCACTCACCCTCATTTTAAGGGGGACTTTGTGGGAAATTGTGTTATGTTTGATCAATGAGATAGTCCTTTCATAATCAATGAAAAGGTAAAATAAACTCTTATTCGAGTGGAAATACGGCAAAAACGTACCGACGCCATTGTAACCACGACAGCACCTTGCTGTGGTTGCGTTATTCCTCCAATAATGGCCGCTTGTTGTTGCGTGCCAACCTGAATTGGTTGCGCTTGAGTTGGGGCGGTTTGAACTGCGTGTGGTTGTTGCTGAATTAATAAAATCAAAGTTAAATTACATGCAATTGCTCAAAGAGTACAGAGTTAAAAGAAGTTCGGAGTATTGCATATACAGCGGTAAATTTTAGGGACACGTCGTTAGGAAGTGACTAAAAAGGTGACGATGAAGTGAGTGATTAACTCAGCAGCGATATTGGATGAAATGCTTTATCATAGAGAAGCGTAATGCAATAAATGATTGTGCATATTTTCTATATTAAACCGAGAAGAATCAAAGGTCTCAATGAGACGACTCCCGGATGCACGAATAGCCGATTAATTGCTGGCTAGTAGACTAACCAGATAAACAAGTTTTTAATACAAAGCGCGCAAAGCAGGTTGGTCGAGTTAATGGCACTAAAGAGTGCGAGACCGTTAGCAATGACACTAATATAATGATGGAGTCAAAAACGATGTTCTAGTTATTTCCTATAGTTGCTATGTTTACGTTAAAACCAATCTACCACAATTCATTAATGACAGCGTTCCAATCAGATTTTTTGTTTAGCGACTTTAAGATTCATCACAACTACGACGCGGACGTGAAGAAAACCATCGTAATAATCCACACAGTTTTACGGTAGGGATAAAAATTCTAATCTCTAGTTTGTAAAGAATTAAGTGATAGACCTATGTGAAACACAGTGAAATCGGTCTCTTCAGTAAAGTAACACAAGCGGCGGTGTTTATCACTATGCAGGGAATCTAAAGCCCCGTTCACACTACGCGAACTAAAAGCTTACTATTTGTGTTATTTACTAATATCACACCCTTGTGCTTGATCAGAGTGCACTCCTGGCTCTAACAATTGCACTACCGAATCACATCGCCATGGTTAGTACAATTGAAACTCATTTACCTGCTGGTACTGGTGAGCAAGTTGAAAATAGTACTGCACTTGATCTTGAGGCGCCATTATTGTATGACCGCTATGGCGCATAGCTTCCTGAAACATGAAAAGATTTGTTAGTTGAACATAAAGTACACGTTGCATGATCTAGACTAACAGAATGATGGTAGATGATGGAAACAGCAACTCAGTGCACATTGCGTTCATTACAGGGGAACATGAATATTCACACACTTAGCTAAGTTTCAAGAGCAGGTCCTGCATGGGTCTATTATCATTTCCCCCAATTCAGTTAATATTCAGTCCAGCAGTGAACTCACTTGTCTTTTGTTAGGTTTCAAGTCATCGCGCGGTACGATGTCGATTAAGAAATCAAACATGTCATATTTTGTGATCGCCATTGCTATATCATTTCTCTGGAAAAGATATTTTGGATAAATGAAGCTCACTATTGTAGCAAAAAGGGGGATAAAAGTTCAAATAGTAGCCACTATTAACTATATAAGTTTGCCTGGTCCTCTAGAGTTCAGGGGTCGGTTGTACAGTACGAAGGCTGGATAGCGCTATCCACCGGATAGTCAGTTATTATATAATTATTCATCGTCTTCAGAGACTCCGTAGTAAATGTCAGTATGAAAAGATATTGGAAAAATTTAAATGGTTTAGAGACACATAACCTGACAATAACCATCGAAGTAATCTCAACAGTATATATTATTAATATACATACGTTGTTACCTATTACTTCAACAAATCTGACACTCAATTTCATGTACAAGAGTAGAATACTCCAGCACGAGACAGGGTAAGCACGGAATGCATTACCTGAAGAGTTCTTCGTTTATTGTCTTCGGTGTGGACCCAGGCACGCAGCGATAGTTCATTGATGAATATCTCCGCAGCTTTTGCAAAAAGGACTGGCGCTTCAGCACTGATCATCTAGAAAACAACATCAGTCAGGGTTGTAAAATGGCCAGAATTTTTATGAAATTAGGCTGTGTGCATACGAGCGCCGTTTTCGAGCGTTTTCAAAATTGTTTTTGTCCAGTTAATCGTTTTACGCTCTGGGCACACGATCCAAGGGGAAATATGTTTGATTTGTTAGATTCGCTTAAATTTTTAAAAAGCCTGTATTTTAACATTATCTCTTGACTTCGACTTGAATAACATTAGAGAACTTCAGATTCGCAAAAGGTACGAATTTAGAGCAACAACGAGATTTTTTAGGTTAAATTAAGATATGATTCTCTCCACTGTCCTTCATGGGCATAGCAATAGTACGTATTTATACAACAATAGTTGCATCAGACTCCTATCATTGTACGTTTTCAGTTACACCATATTTGATTGAAAATGTATAATTGACAAATTGTACCAGATTTCATAGCGATTGTGAGTGTAAATTACCTAAGGAATAGAAGGTGAATTGATGAAAGATTACCTTGACTTCTTCATCTTGTTTCATAATTTTCTTAATTCTAGCCAGTGGCAGTTCCTGTGTCTTGAAGTCAGACTAATTATAACATGAGTAACATTAACTCTTAATTATGTAGATGCAGACAGTTGGCAATGCACGACAATGGCAAGTGATGAAAGAAGTTAATACAAAAAAAGCAAAGCACTTCATTCATCAGAGTGATCTCTGCATGACCATGACCATTTTATAAGAACCAGACTTTATTTAACTCCTGCTGCTGTTAGGTTGTTAAATGTTAGGACTCAGGTATGTCACTCTCGGAAGAGTCAACCATGCTAGTGGTAAATAATGACATTTTAGTGGAAATTATTTGCATTCAAGCATAAGCTTTGTGTTATTTTTCTTTTGCTTGTCAGATTGCTGTAGGATAGAGCCCTAATATGGCATTCTATAGGTTACATTAGATACTGAGGTTTGCAAATATGAACAGGCCTTTGAATTAGTAGGCAGGGAAATAGACATACCATTGTTCTGATCTCCTGTGTTTGCCTTGTCCAGAAACTTGCCAGAAGTTGTGCAGCTTCGGTTTGATTGGAGCCAGGCTGGAAAACAAGTTATGTTCAGGAATATATTTAGTCAGCCTGCATGCATGCAATTGGAGTTTCAAGGGCACAACTTGTGAGCATGCCTTAAAGGCAATTTAAATCTCAAATAAGCCCCCCAATGTGAGACTTTCACAAGTTTTCTTGTGACATTTTGTGTAAGTGACATTGCTCACAAGCATCAACTCAGTTAAGTATTCCAAAATAATGTTGGGTCCTGAATTCGTCTCCACTGTGCACACCTACAATATAACACCTCACAAGAGATTGCTCATGAATGTATGCAACTGAATAGCTGCTGGTTAAATTAAAAAAACAACAACAATGGTGTAGTTTATCTAATATGCCACTGACTGATAGAAAAATACAAATTATTTAGAGATCGAAGTGTGGGATATTCTGGTTTTCATTCTAGGGATAGTAAAAAGATCTTACCACTGGTTCAGCATAAACTTCTGTCATCATTGAGAACACCTGTAATTTCATCATTGATAAGGGAAACAATATATATAGCATTTGAAACACTGTTGGTTTGTGCATGATTAAACAACTTCTATTTTTTCTATTTTTTGATCTGCATGTTCCACTATTGCTGCCTAACACATGATGGATAAAGGCTACACTCTCAGGATGATGTATCCTCAGGCCTAAATTTCATTCAGTGGTGGAAAATTTCTCACAAATATAATGTATCTGGAATGGTTGGTATTGTATGTGTAGTAGGCAGTTGCGATATAGAAAAAAATCGATATATCGATATCGGAATAAAAATATCGATAATATCGACTATATCGAATTATGCAAATGAGAAAACGTAATTTAGTCTACATGCATGTATACGCATCACAAACAGTTAAGAAAAGGTGCATGAAGCCAGTGATGGTACGTCTCGAAGATTTATTTATTATTTTATTAACAACGGTTTATGCGTTTATGAAAGATATATATTTTTTACAAGCCTAATGGTTTCACACTACAGTTAAATATATTTATGTTTATAAATTTTCTACGAGAAACACTAACATGTTTGCCTGGCTTGGCTTGAGGTTTACTCGCTTCGCCGTAAATATATCTGTCCCGCTTTACTAAAAAGTCTTTCAGTTGGAGCACTGCTCGCGGGAATCGCCAGATATCGTCGGACATACTGCGACATTATTACTTCCCTTTGCAACAGAATAACGAGTTTGAATGAGCCGTGTTATTTTGATACCTTGTTTTTAAACCCGCGTCGATACGCGTCATTAACATTATTATTCAAATTATCGCGAATTTCATCTCTATGAGTCAACACAAAACTATTGTTTTCAAGCGTTCAATGCCGCTGCTTGATGATCTTCAGTGATCACACTTTCTTTCAAAACAATAATGGCCGAATAATCGGAGATTAAGTTGTTTAGTTACAACTTTCGATATTTTCGATATATGAAAAATGGAATATCGAATATCGATATTTTTGATATATCGATATTTATCGAAAATATCGATATATCGCAACTGCCTAATGTGTAGGTAATCAAACTTTTTCACAGGGATATGTTCATTCACAGCAATTATCCTCATGATCTAATACCTATGAGGCTATGGCACAAAACTAATCTGCCACACTTCTGTGACTGACCACTGTACTGTATACTGCAATGCACAAGTTTAAATATTCTCTCCTGTCACACCATAATTTAAGCATGGCATATTAATATTTTTCAGTATAGGTTTTTACTTCATTTTTTCTTCCCAAGTTATAATGGCAGATAGGGTTCAATCAGGCATTATCTAATATTTTCTGTTAAACTATTCGGTCTATTCTATAACCTAACCTAACTTTCATTTTGATTTGTACTCTCAAAAGCTGAAGCGATAAAGTATGTTTGCATATTATAAGTGCGCTAAAACATGAGATACTTACAGAAAAACTCAAAGCTTTATCCTAAACAGGGATCAGTTGTAAAATATGAAATATATTCCGACTTTAAATCGCGTTTTTTGCACAATTTTGAACTTTCACATATAAATGAACAAAGATTAAACAAAGCTTTCTGAGTCAGCACGCACATGGACAGCAGTTTTCACTTTTGCACATTAATACTTCATGATGAGACACGTGTATGGCTGCAGCAACGGATTGCCATAAGTTTAAAAATCAAACGAGACTTACCTGGAAGCTGAAGTTTGATGGTATTCTAACAAATTACGTAATTGATGTGAGTTATGAATGATTTATCAACAATGTCTGATGGAATAGCTGCGTCTTGCAAGGTTCTCCGGATATTTTGCATACCAAGTTGGGTGAACCAAATTCTGACGAGTCACCATCAGAAGCCGGCGTGGTATCTCTATCAACAGACTGAGCGCAACTGTGAAAAAGGTTTGGCTGGACCAAGCGGTACAATGAGAATTCCCGTTGCCTTGTCGTGTATAATCTTCTGCAGATATGTGGAAACAAGGCAAAAAGGTGGAAAAGCGTAAAGAAAATACTTGACCAGCCAATAGAAAGACATGTGTAGACAACATCCATTCTAAACTTAAGTTAAAGGACCTGGATAGGCAGAGCCAGCGATTTGAGCCGCAGACAACCAAATCCCTTTGGCAATGCCCAAATCCAAACTGTTTTAACAAGTGAATTACATTGCTCTGACCTACATCCACCCATTTGGTTGATATAAGCGATCGCAGTGGTGTTATCACACATGGATATTAATGGATATTAATTTGGTCATTTAACAAAGATAGGAGGGCAAAATGAATGGCTAGCAATTCTAAATGATTAATATGTGAATCCAACGACGTATAAAATATAATTAAATGTAACCGTATATTTTGCATAGTTGAATCCTTGTTAACTCAGAAATACACAACTCTGATTGGCAAATTCTGTCTTTAACTACAGTTAAAAGTTAACTAGTCTTTTATACAACTGGCCAGGTAGTCAACCTAGAATGAACACGAGTTCGTTATAATGGTGGAGTCGTGAAGAATCCTGTTTTCGAGACTAATTACAATCACTTGCTCAAACGGTAAAATAATAATTATAATATAATATATGCAATAATTCAAAAAGCTCTTATATGCGAGATTTAACGTATATTTAACAATAATTTCATGCACTCAAAATATTTCAGTACAATATATACCATTTAATGTCCTACAAAATGTTACGTGTGTTCTATGTGTTTTTGTATGCGATCTAAATAATTCCATTACTATTACTAACAGTTTTGAGCTAATCAGTTCAAAACCCTAGGATATCGAATTGCAATTGCATCGAGTGACAAGTATTTACAAATATTATCTGTTCAAGAGTCGAAGACGAAGTGAAAGAATTGGGTTTTCACCATGTCCTCAATCTTATTTCTCTTTCTTTTATTTTTTTCGGGGCTGATTGTCGGTAAAACGTTCGACCTCATTTTATGTAGTTAAGTAATAGTTACCTCCAAAATTAACAATTTTGACTGGTGGAGACGATCACCAACTTAGTATAGTCAGGAGGGCCGGAACCACCGGGGCAGCTGCCCCCAACTGGGTGGCTTCGGCACTCTTGACTATAGTTAACAGTTTACTCCCTCTTTACACAACCGGAAAGCAGGGAAATTCTACTACAACCCTCCATTTTGCAGAAAAATACAAGATTAATTAGTGAAGTAACAAATCTACCCCCTTTCATCAGCCGTTCGTCACATTTTGGTCATATTCATGTCAACTATGACAATCTATCAGCTATCTTCTTAGTTTCATTAGACATATACCCGGAACTAGAATTCAATTTCTAAGGGAGAGGAGATCAGTCAACCGTAGTCATACCAAATGAAAGAGGAATGGCAGGGCACCTACAGCCCCACTTCCTCAGCTCAGAATCTGATCAGTTGAACACGACCAAAATGCGACTCATAAACAAGTAGACCTGAATAGTGCGGGTGTCCATTTTGTGATTTGTGATTAAACGTCTCTTGATTCACTCAACATATATACATGGGAATTAAATCATGCGTCTAATTTCTTTTGCAGTTCGGCAAAGTATCGATCCAAGAGAGACAAATGGTTGAGAATATTTTTGCGACCAAATTTCCGAGAGGCTGAGTCAAATTTCTGCATGTCGGGGTCTTCTGTGCAAGAGAATGTAACGTCGTAGAAATCCTTGAGTAGACATCTAAAAAATACAATATTTCTTGAATACGAGTCATGGACGACATTCCTGTAAACTTTTGAATTTTTCGGTTCAGATTTTAGAATGACATTTAAAGTGTGGATACAGTATTGACTGAGAATTCCTACCTGACTTTTTCAATTTCTTTCACTTTATTCGACTTTTTCGGTCTCTCTGGCGTTTCTGGCAGTGCTTCCTCGCTTTGCGCCGCTTTTTCAGCGAGTGTTTGAAAAGGAAAATATTCTAAATTCACATCATATATGTCATTCGCCAATTTTTCTGCCTCCTGTTCGTTGAGAGGCGTGAAAATAGTCGGCTTTCCGCTCTTTTTGGTCGCCGGCCCGTCGTTTTTGTCCGTTTCTAGTTTGCGTTTAGATTTAAACATATTTGGCAACGGTTGAACGTTTTCTTTTGAATGCTTTTGTCGAAGAGATGTTTTCATTAGGGAAACAAGATTACTTGGAGTTGTTGAAAAAGTATTCTCTTTCGTTTCGGTTGTTTCTGGAGTTTTGGCCGTAAAACCATTTTCATTTGGCGAACTTATCGCCGTGTCGATTTGAGGGACTGGTACAGGCGATACGCATTTAGTGCCACTCAGTGCTTTCGATATTGGCGGCGGGGTTTTCACTCCTGGGGATTTGATTGCAGGTTTTGGAATTCGTGACATTTCTTTCGGGTATTGTGATACAACAGTAACATTTGGAGGTACTACTTTGCTTTTAGGAGCTTCACCGGCGGAACTTGTGGTCATTCCGGCATATCGGGGATTAAGTCCACCGGGTGAGACAACGCTGGGGGTAGAACTTTGGATGAGTGATCTAGAGTTTTGGATAGCGAGTGCACTCGTTGGTACGCTGACAGGAGGAACTGTAGGTGGCAACTGGGATATTCCGTGTACTGCAGGGACCATTTGTGGATTAATGGCGTAATATTTTCCATTTGCAAAAAAACCAGGTGGAGTAGTGCTTTTGTATTGGTTTCCGGGCCAGTAAAAAGCCGCCCTGGCTTGGTTTTGTAGTGGACCTGGAAATAATGCAAATGTTTAATCGTTTGGACAAAGTTTTGAAAATACACTCACATATAGTGTGGTTTTTCAAAATGTAATTTAACAAATTTAGAGTTAAAAAGAGGAATTATGTAGGCTAACGATATCTTTTGCTATCTTATACGGGCTAGAAATAACCTAAGAATCGGGTGCTAAAAATTGCCGGTAAAAATCCCTTCCTTTTACTGCTTGCAATTGAATAGACAATCTCACTAGCGCATACACGCATTTTTTGAGATAACGGAGGGGACGGTGTTCATACCTGGTGGCAGTTTATTTTTCACACCAGCAATTGGATTGTTTTCCTCGCTTACACCTTTAACCTCCTGGCTTCCTCTTTCTTTCCAGATCTTATAAGCGTACGACTTTCGATACTGTGCATCCCGCTTGCTCGCCTGCGGGGCTTTCTGGCCTTGCATCATAGCCTCTTTAATTAAATCTTCAGGCTTGCGAGGGACTGTCGGGGTGTCGTGTTTCGCTTTTTTATTCGACGACTTGACGGCTGGTGCTCGTTTGGGTTTCTGAGTGTTGGTCGTGCGTTTCGATGGACTAGGTGCTGGATGTTTCTCGCCCTGAATCGCGGCCATCACGTGTACGGCATCTTGAGGAAGGCTTTTACCCCTCTCGTCTGGAACAACGCTTTCGGGACTGCCAGCGGATCCATTGAGATCTTGAGGTGTTTGTGAGATCCCATTATGTACCCCATTGTCCTCACCATTCGTGGTAGGTTTGTAGTGCTTCGGTTTACTGATTTTTCGTCTGCTCTTTGGAGAACTTTCTTGACAAGATGAGATATTTTCTTCATCTATAAATCAGACAAAAAACACGTAAGCATTATCATCTCATGGGAATGTCTTTCTCAAGCCTAGCTTCAACTTTGTCGCTTGAACCAATGGGGGATGTCAAAGAATGTCATTCTAATATCTACAATACAAAGAGTAATTTGCATACACACAAGATAAATTTAGACTTCTTCACAATGCAAGCATCTACCACTTGTGACAGCTGACAGATAAGAGCAAATATAAGCTTTGCTTTGCGTTATGAGTTTCACCACCAATATAGGAATGTTGAGCATTCGCACTAAGTGTAAGCGAATCGGGTATCAAATGTGTTGCATGCCGGCGGTACATTAGTTTTATTCGAAAAAAATACGAGTAAATGTATCATTATATAAACAGCCAGACGACTTGGTCTGGTTCAGGAGCGTTTTATGCAACAATAAAGACCAACCATTATAGCAAAAGACAATATAGTCATATTTAAATTTTGAACGTAGTTTCTTTCACGACCATGATTTATTTAATTAAGTAGTTACTTTATGTTTGAACATAAAGCACTAATTTTTTTTACTTCTCAGTGAAATCAAGCATTTGTTTTGAAAATTACAGAAGAATTTTAGAAGTTTGTCGTAAATGCCAAACTGACTTATCTGCCGATGTCATACATGTATAACTTAAGCTATAGGACCTTTACATTAAGCAGAGCAGACGTTCTGCTCTGTTAATCTCTTCAAATAATTAATTATAACACCTTGATACACTGAACAAAGAAATCACTGGGAGAATGATCAACGAAGTGAGTCATGAGGGACAATATTGGTAGACGGCAAGCTGTGTTTGGTATTTTTATCGTTTGGACGTACACGTGCAATATAATACACGTATAGTCAAAAGTTGTCTCTTACAGCCATATAACTTCTCTAGCAGCCGTTTAGGTCATGAAACATGAGTCTCTCATTACAGTGGAAATTTCATATTTGCCTGAGTGCGAACTTCCATGACCAAGTGGGAAGTGCTAACTGTTCTAGAATTACTTACAAACTGGCCTCTTACTAGAAATCGAACCTTGGGTCCAGTATTTTTTATAGTGTAAGCCAGCCATTATACGCCAGGTAGAGCAGTGATTTCATCTGTTATATGCCACTAGCGTTCTGTGCCATATTGCGCAATAACCACGCGCACTGGGGAACCAGCTCAGTCTATAGCTATTTTAGCTAGGTACCACCCACCGATACTACCAATCTTTTTTATTGATTGTTTATAACAACAAACAGTAAATTATAGGTTGAGAGTATCCTTCCAGTTTCAAAGAACGAGTCATAAACGCTGATGATCTAAGATTGACAAAGCCGAACACAAAACATCTTTTGGGTTGTGACTAAGTGACTGTCTAACGAGCAAAGTCAGCCAACAAAGATATCGAACATGCTGGCGTTAGATAATAGATCCAACAATCAACATATAACCGAAAGTCTCAAGTGGCTTAGTGTAAATAGCAAGGCAGCAAAGGACGTAATTTTAACGGTACTAACCGAATTTGTTCGTTAGCATGATACTGAACAGAACAACTGACGAGTTTGTCCGTTTTCCCGCTTTTGTTACGCGTCAAAATGTCATTTGGTCTGACACAAAACATCACGCAAAAGTGGGTTTCCCGCCAAAACTCTGTTTACTATGTTAACGACGTCATAAATTGCTCTAACTGCCACCGCCATTTCATGCAATCAAATGCGTACACTATAGGAAGAAGCTAATATGTGAACAGAAAGTGTAACTTTACTGAGCTAAATAACTTAATTCTTAGTTGGAAATTTGTTTGGTAAGAAAGAAATATTATGTTACAAAAGTAATGGACTAGGTCTTTGACTACAGAAAATAAGGAGATTCATGAAATAAATACTGGCAAAATAACAGGCATTTATGCTTTGCCAAGAGCGGTTAGGAAGGCAAATTGGATCCGCGGCGTTGTAATTCCTTGAGTTCATGCGATATATACTGTCTGCGGACCGGCCTTAACTTTCAGGGACTGAGGGAAGTGTTGCTTAATTAGATTCAGATCGACAATTACACTTCCGTTTCAGCTAAACCGAAATGGCTTCAATACCACCAAATCAGCTATCTAACGAAGAAAGCGTTCAATGTCTGAGCACTGTCGATGTATATGATTGTAGGATGAATAAAACCATTGTCTTTCAACCGAATTCTCACTGAAACAAGGCGGAACAAGCGATTGGGTGAGTCGCAGTAAAATGGAATATGTTTGCGAAGCACTTAGAGGTATATCATGTTATGACGTCACCACAGGTTACCTACTTAACACTTTTCCGCCATTTCATGGCTGCCCACATATTATCACAGATATTGTATAGGCATGGCTCTTTAAATCACAACGATATGACGAAAACAATGGCCCATCTTATAGTTTTTTTAAGAAGCTAAACTAATAAATGGTATACAATATATATATGTATATATATAAGCGTCTTACATACTTTAATTTCACCACGCGTTTACATCTCGTTGTGGGCAAGTAAATAATATCGTTCCACTTCAGTAACCTACCTTCAAGTTTCAAAACAACATCAGGTTTATCGTTTGTTTTCCCGTTATCGCTAAGCCCAGCTTTCCGAGCTTCATTCGTCCAATTTTCTACCTTCCTTGTTTCTAATTCAGCCATATTTCGTCGGGAATAAGCTCCTCGAAACGATCTAACAAAACAACCAGATTCTTTCACGGTATGGCGAGCTTCAGCGTTTTCAGCTTCTCTTTGTATATCAAAAATTGGCGGGGACTTTCAGCGAATTAAATCCTGTGAGCGTTGCTCCTAAAACACGACAATCCTTTGTTGTATGAACTCCTGGTCCAAGACAGTATAATTGAGCTTGGAGAGAAGTTGTTCAGCTGTAATCTTCCTTCGTTCGTAAACTAATGTTTCTACTGAGAGGTTGTCTATTGGTATGTTAATTTTGGCGTGGCGCTTTACTACATAATTTGTCAAGAGGGCAGCATTTGCAAGTTTAATTATATAACTCAATCGACCATGAAGCGTTTTGAAAGACAGCGACAAAACGTGTCATTGAAATTCCTTTCAAATACTGTTCGTTTACTTGTCTATATCTCGGGACTGATTGAAACAGCCTAAAAGAAGGAAAATGAAATGGATCGTTCCGAGTTTGTCTTAGGCTCTCGGTGTGGTTTTAAACAGAGCGAACACTCCGAACAGCCACTTCGTTTTTTTCAAGTTGACTTATAGTGTATAACTGGACTGCTATCGGAGGTGGTCAACTTTTAGTTCATAACTGGACTGCTATCTGAGTGGTCGAAATAGGTGAAGATTTTAATCTTAATCTGTCAACCCACAAGAATTTAGCACTCACTAAACCGTTGAGCAAACGGGATAGAAAACGAAAATGCCGTGACGAGCAAACCAGTAGATGTGTGAACGAAGCCTGAGTTAAAGTTTTCATATAAATCTCCTATTTTCAGGACCCGCTTAATCATGACCGGCTGATCTGGAATGTACTCATGGTACAGATTACTTGCTGCGGAATTCTGCCAGCGGACTCGGATAATATTTTTGTACCGTCTACGACAGTTTTGTACTTTTGTTTACACGTATGAGTAGCCATATTTAAAAGAAGTGCGGCCGGTTTCCATTAAGCGGTCAAAATGGTCAGACCGGTCGTATTTTAAATTGAAATAGAGTATTTCGTTAAGAATGTAGCGATAAAACTATATTTCCCGTGTTAGGCAGATGTAAATAACGATATACTTGAATGCAGAGTTCTTGAAACACTCTAAAATACCAGTAATCTATCCGTACTGAAATACAACAGGACCGGTCTGTCCGCCGTTTTTTCCGTTTAAAGGAAAGCACCCTAATATCGGTTAACTGCATGAAATCGGCAGCATCGAATCATTAATATGCGTTGTACTTGACAATTTTTAATGATTTTCTGATAACAGTTGTAACCTGAAGGTTATCAACTTTGATTTTGACAGAATTGGCTATTCAGAATCGTATATTTTAACGACGATTTACCTCTCAGAAGTAAGATCTTTTTACAACCAGCATGGTAATATTAATGATAGACATATTTTTGGACTGAAACTTACGTAACTCATTATCCATAGTTTATATATATACTTTACGACTACGGGCGTTTTACAACCGATCTCTCGGCCTGTTATTAATGATAGTATTGATAGGCATATTCCTGGAGAAAAAAACACATGCATACTCTAGACTTGTTCTAGGTTTAATTATAAACAAACCAGCGCTTTGCTTTAACTTTGGCTAGGACTTTTTATAGGACTATGATATGATTATCTGGCAAGGTCGCGTTGAGATTATAGTATCAGTCAGAGTGTCCCAAAACCCCCAAAAGTATTGAAACCACCCATAACAATGCAGTTAGAGTTTGAATGCCTAAGCAGCTTTTTGGGACCCACAAGTGTATAAATGTTTGAATAAGCATTTTCAGTATGCATGATGACATGCAGTGAACTTTGTTTTTGTACCCACAAATGACTTTTATTGCCAATAATTAAAATTTACAGATATGGATAACAATATTTAAATGACCGTGACATTCGACATGTCCTCCTTTTGTAGGAAGTTTAAATTTTGTAGGACTATGTTTAGCACTTTATAAGTTGCGTTAATCTCATTGACCTTAGTAGAATTCGCGAGCAAAAATTCGCGAATTACGAACGAGTGATTTAAATTTTACCAATAGCCGAATAGGTGATTTCAATAATAGTTTTGGGTTTGGGGGAAACTTGATCTGTATAGTGTAGTCAAGTGTCCACTTGAATTCATTTCTTACCACATCTATATTAATTACATACACATATATTACAAAATAGACTGAGCAGTTACCATGCAGTTTATATATAACACGGTCTTCATGCAGTCTTTATATGATCCTATCAAAAACTCGCCTATGCTCAATCATCAACAAAAAAAAACAAGCATTATACATATATGTCTGTAATGTTTTTATTGGCAAATACCGCAATTTTTACTTGTCATTGCATGCCTATTCAAATGATATAATTGGTAATGAAAGCAATCTCAACTTGAACTAAGTCCAAGAAGCGAAAAAAGTTGCGCTCCCTAAGTTACAATTTTCTTCTGTCTTAAATCACTCATAAAATCAACTTTTTATCCACTAATAATTTAAATATATTCCATTCTCATACGACAACCAGGTAGTAGAATTTATTCACACTTGCACTGAATTAATAATTATGGAGCCGGTGAATTAGGCCTTTCATCAGGAAGTTAGTAGTCCAGAAAATAGATATATGACTATGGATCGGATGACGATAACGTCTTGAATGGTAAGGCCAACATAACATCACGGTTAAACACATCAGTTACCATCACTTTCAAACACGTGAAAATTGTATGTGTCACGTGTTGTGTTGTAACGTAGCTGCCCCATAGGAGTGATCGATCAGAACAGTTCCGAACTTTCACGTGACAGTGTTCTGTTGTACTCCATTACTGCTCTTGAAATCTGGAGTACTCCGAACAGTAAATGGAGCAGCCTGATAGAATACCGTCTTACTGAGAATAGCTACATTCACGAGGGATTAAATTTAATAAAATCACTCATAATTCTATAGAATTTGATCAGTGAATTTCAGACCCTATGACTATGAGATATAGAGCATAAAAATACAGGAAGCTGAGCGGAGTGAATGTAGCTATTCTCTAATAGCTGGAAATTTATTGTGCCACACGCTAGCAAAATTATAATTAACAGATTCGATGCTTTAGTTGCAATCTACCCCCCCCCTATTTCTGTAATTCTCACCCCTACCTTTCGGTTATTTTCACTCAGTCTCTCTCCTTCGAAACCATGTCTAATGTTTTTATGTGGTGCATGGTCATGCAAGAAAATAGCTTCCTGCATGTTGGCATATTCCTGACATAACTTATTATATTATTATAGTATTTCATTGTAGACCGAATGTATCAAAACATGAATATGATTTCTACCCAATGAGGATACAATGTGTCTACTTCCTGCATGCATTCAAAAATGTTTGGGGCCTATGGGAATACCAGAACATATCATACTCGCGTTCTTACCAGTGTATATAACGCAATTGAAGACGATGGAAAACACACAGGGATGCAGCGAAAGGTAAGGACTAAGGACTTGGTATAACTTTCGAGTTCTGTCAGTGCGAAGGATATTGTGTATAAACTCTACTAAATAAGGGGGGAGTATCTAATACTAAATAGGTTTCTGACTTTCTGTCGCCTGTCGGTGATACGCGGTTGCGTTGGATCATAGTATCGTGTGTATGTACGAACAGCACAGTGAAGCTGGCTCATCCAGCAGAAAATTTAGCAATGATTCCTTTATAACAGACGATTTGAGTTATGACTGCAAAAATGAGTGAAGCGCGTTATATAAAGCGAGTATTCGAGTAGTATTATAGTGCTTACTAGTTACTATACTAGAATAATGCATTTCGTTGCCTATAAGAGTAATAAGACTGTCGTAATGTCATCGTCTGTCTGACGATCTTCCAGACAAGTGAGAAACTCATTTTAAAAATAAGGTACAACAGCTATATAGCCGTATAGTATGCGTATATGATGAGTTTATCTGTATGCGTATTATATTGAGATGATTCGTGCTAAGTTCAAAATACACAATTTAAGAATTAATTAAAAAGTGATGTACCAAAAAAGGTTTTTAAAGTGCAGAGTAAAAGCGTCCAATCAAAAGTCACTTCAAGGAATCGCTAAAAATACTACCGTATTATGTATAAACCATGTATAATATATAAACAGCAGGCATGTAGCTACAAACAGCAGTCGCATGAAACGAGAGTATAGCCAAGTGCATGGGGCATGGCCGTTACCGTATCCGTATATATAAGTTTATACTGAATCATATATCCTCAAATCTATTGAAGGTTTTTATTTCGAGTAGAATTTAAATACAGTGTCAGTGCAATTTTATGCAAATTTGATGCCGCTGCAACCCGACACGCAAAATCAAGCCGAGCCATGCAGTTTAATTTTGTGCGTACATGTCGACAAGACTATGGCATGATATAGACCATAGACATAGTATAGATCTATCAAAAACTAAAACCATTTTGAGCGAGCTCGATTCTTGCAGAAAGTCTAAGTGTTTACATCGAGTAGCGATAATGTAACTGTTGCAAAGTGCACAAGTCAAATATGTATACTAAATATTTAACGAACTTTATAGGTTTATATTTTTTATTTTAGTGAAGGATGGCGCAAATTTGTTTTGTTCGTGATTACCGTCGTCCTTTATCTTGATGGGGAAAACCAGATCAGGTAAGCCGTAAATTCTTATACACTTACAACGTTAAATGAGGGCATCCCATTACTAATACTTTAAACTCTATTCAAAATTCATCTTTTTTTAATTTTTATTTCTATTTTACGTGATTAACGAAAGGTGGTGCATAAATTCTTCCGTGACTTTTCTTTACTTTGCTGATGAAGAGAATCAGATTAGGTTTGTCGAAATTAACTGTCTTGACACTTTAGCCATTTTTCCACCCATACCAATACGGACCGTGGACATGGTATTATTCTTTACTTGTCTACGTCAATATATTTACGTCATGTATATACTTTTAAGATCGTCCGAAATTGATGTTTTCGTTATTGTGGTCCTAAACGTTGCCAATGATGACGATGGTAAGTTGTAAGTTAATTGGGCTTCTTCCCGGCTCGGGTTATATGTACATGCAGCTTTGATGTTTAGTCTTATCATACATGTCTGATGGGGTGATAAAAATTATTTGAACGCTGTTGTTTTATTAATATTTTTATTTACATAATAGATGTATAATAACCCCCTATTATAGGCCTGGCTTTCGTAATCCATTGGCGATGTTCTAAGATCTATATATTGTCGGTGATCACTGATAGCCTCGCCGATGAGTGATACGACATATGAAAACCATGGTCAGTTTTATATGTCGTAATTCATCGGCGATA